GTGTAGCAACATGGATGGACCTTGAGGGTGTTATGCTGAGCGAAATAAGTCAGGCAGAGAAGGACAAATACCATATGTTTGCACGTATAGGAGGATTAGGAGGAACTTGACGGAGGACCAAGGGGGAGAAGAAGGGCGGAAATGGTGGGGGAAAGGGAGAGAGGCAAACCATGAGAGACTCTTGAATGCTGACAAAAACTGAGGACTGATGGATGTGGGGGGGAGGGGGGGATGGGCATGAAGGAGGGCACTTTGGGGATGAGCACTGAGTGTTATGTAGAAACTAATTTGACAATAAACTATTTGTAAAAAAAAAAAAAAAAAATTATCTGATAGTTCCCATGCTAGGGTCATTTCTGAATCTAGTTCTGTTGGTTGCTTTCACTCTTTTTTTTTTTTTAATTTTTAAATGTTTTATTTATTTCTGAGAGAGAGAGAGAGACTGCATGAGCAGGGGAGGGTCAGAGAGAGAGGGAGACATAGAATCTGAAACAGGCTCTAGGCTGAGCTGGCTGTCAGCACAGAGCCTGACACAGGGCTCGAACCCACAAACCATGAGATCATGACATGAGCTGAAGTCGGATGCTTAACTGACTGAGCCACCCAGGCGTCCTGTGCTTTCGCTCTTGACAATGGGTTATTTTGTCTTGCTCCTCTCCCCAATGTCTTGTAATGTTTTATTAAATGCTGGCTCTTTGAGGTTATTTTGTTTTGGCTTCTTTTTCCTTTGCATGTCTTGTCATTTTTGATTGAATGCCAGGCATTAGAGGTAGAACAGTATAGACTGAGTATGTCTAGAAACAGATACACTTTTTCTTCTGTCAACTGTTAGTGTGGAGAATTGGGCTCATCTAGTCAGAAGTTGAGCTGGGTTTAGGTATTATAATTGCTATTGTTACCTTTAGTGCACCTTAGGTTTCAAATGCCTCTAGTGGTGAGCTGCTGTTGCCTTGTGCTTAGGGTGGGGGCTGCTATGCCAGAAGGGTTTTCTCAAGTGTTCCTGCTCCCTTTTCGGTTTTCGGTCTGCAAGCCTGCATCACGGAGGTGTGTGTGGGGTGAGTCTCCCCATGTTCTTGCTTCATCCCCAGAATACACTACTGTTGCTTCTTGCTTCTTGCTAGGCTCATCGTGGCAGCAGAGGAATTTTTTCTGTCTTCTTATCCTGCCTCAGTTTTAGGCATGCTCTATGTGCTTGGGCCTCAGGAGCAACATGTTCTTAGAGTTCCTTCCCCTTCTCTCTCTGGCAGCGAAACACCACCTTGTGTGGTTGTTCTTGGGTGATAGTTTTCTGCCCCTCTTCCAATAGTGGCAGATCTCTGCTTGGTTTAGGTATAGGATTCTGGACCCCAAGCAGTTTCTTGTCCTGTCCCCTGGGATAGAGGGTTTTTGCTTCTCTCCTTATCCTAGTAGTAGTGGATCCTTGCCTTGCTCCTGGGTGTTTCCCTCGTATTCCTCCTCTACATGCAGGCAGGTTTTGCTTTTACTTCTTTCCCAGAAGTAGTATATCTTTGCTTATTGTTCTGGAGGTGGGTGTGAAGAATTACTTGCCTCTTTCCAGCAGCTTAAGGCTTTTGCTCTATAGGGGCAAAGGATCCAGGGAAGCAAAGGATCTAGGGCATTGCACTTGTTTACCTGAAGCTCTTGATTTCTTCCCGTACTTCTCTGCCACTGATGGGGCCTTTCTCTGGTGTTCTGTTCTGTGTTCAGTCTTTTTTTTTTTTTTTGAGGAAAACATTGTTTCCAAGATTCTGTTAAATGCCACTTTACCACTTCCTCTATGAAATACTTCCAGTCCACCTCCTTATATTAGGCAGTCTGGTCCAGTCCCTCTTTTGTCTCACCAGTTGACATACATCTACTTTTTCACTTATCACACAATTTGCAACTGTCTGCTTGTCTGTGAAATGAATGAGTAGATTACCACTCACTGGTTAAGTCTGTGAAACTAGGTTGGAGCCATTTTATGAAAAGCCTTCAATGCCAGCTTAAAATTGGGATTTTATCATGTAAGGGAATGGGGAGTCATTGAGGAGAGCATGAAATCCTGGCAATTTTAATCTGACATATGATGTATATGATTGGAGATAAGACAGTAAAAGTTGGAGATTGCTGAAGTTTTTATAAGGCTCTGTGTTGTGTAGATAAAGGCCTCAAGATGGTGGTAAAAGGAATGGAATGAAGAGATTTAGATTTTGTTGGCCAGATTTGGAAGGCCAGGGAAAAGGAGGAGTCAGAGAGGAATTCAGTTTTGAGATTTGTTCTTATGTATTAGTTTCCTAAGGTATTTGTAACAAAGTGTCATACACCAAGTGGCTTAAAACAACAGAGATTTATTCTCTCACAGTTCTGGAGGTTGGAAGTATAAAATCAAGATGTCAACAGGGCCATTCCCTCTATGAAGGCTCTAGGGGGAGGCTCATTCCTTTTGTCTTTCCAAGCTGCTGGTGGCTGCTGGCAATCTTTTTAGTCGGTTTACAGCCTTATCACTCTAATGTCTGCCTCCATGGTTATATGTTCTTCTTTCCCCTGTGTCTGCATCCAGTTTCCCTGTTATAACATCTGTCACTGGGTTAGAGCCCACTCTAATCTATTATGACTTCGTTTTAACTTGAGTACATCTGCAAAGATCTTATTTTCAAGTAAGGTCACGTTCACAGGGACCTGTGAATATATCTTGAACATACCTTTTCTGGGGGACATAGTTCAACTCCTGTATCAAATTAATTCAATCAAGGAATCATGTGTTGAGTTGTAATTATAATTCTGTATAAAGAACTTATAATAGAGAAGATAGCCATTTAAACAGATAATTCCATTACAATGTGGCAAATGTGATAATACTGATATGCACAGGTCATTATGGAAACACAGAGGAGTGACACTTAACCCAGCCTACTAAAAAATGTAATGGTGGGATCCTGGTTAGAAATAAAGTGACAAAGAGGAACATCATTTTCTTGGGACTGAAATCATCCAGTGTTTGGTTATATAATTATATTAATTAAAAAAAAAAATGTCTAGCTTGGGTGAATCCAAGACTGTTAATAGACCTATCTGTAGGAAAACCGATATGGGAGACAGCTGTATGGAGGAGGGTTGCCATTCTGTCTTCCATTTTATTTATTTTTAAGTTTATTTATTAAAATAAATAAATTTTAGCGAGAAGGGGAGGGGTGGAGAGAGAGAGAGATAGACAGACAGACAGCATGAGCAGGGGAGGGTCAGGAGAGAGGGAGACACAGAATCTGAAACAGGCTCTAGGCTCTGAGCTGGCTGTCAGCACAGAGCCTGATGCGGGGCTCGAACCCACAAACTGTGAGATCATGACCTGAGCCGAAGTCGGACGCTTAACCGACTGAGCCACCCAGGTGCCCCTAAAAATACTGACTTTAAAGAGAATTCCTTTAATGATGATGAAGCAAGGAATTTCAGCCCGTAGGTCTTTCTGTATTTCCCGGTCATATATATTTTATTTTACTTTAATTAGTTGATTGATGATTGATTGATTTAAAGACTTGCCTTAGAATCAGGGTACTTGGTCTGTTTTGAATTGCTCTGAATTTGGAATAGTTAAAGTCATATAATTTAGTGATACTTCTTATGAATATAACTGGAATGTTTTGGGGAACTGCCAAAATTTTCAAAATACATTGGTTATAATCCTTATCTAACAGTTTTATGTGATCACCTTCAGATTTGATGTGCTTTATTAATATGGTGGTTAAAATCTATTTTATCAAATTATATCCTTAAAGTTTGATAGTAAGGCCAACAACACTCATCCCAAATCTGTTAATGAGAAACACACTTTAAACTTACAGTGAAAAAATTTAGCTGTCAATTTTTAAATGTGCTAGGCGGTATGTGGTTTTTCAAACTTCTTTTAAGGAGTATGTAAACAAAACGGTTAAAGATCACTGTTTTGTTTTCAAAATATCCTTCAAAACATCTTCACAAGATCATCTTTATCTTGTTAAAGGTTAAAAGTGAAAGTGAATTTTAACGATGGTAATTTTGATTTGAAACCCATGGCAAGAGCTCCTCATCCTCTGGAATCTCAGAAGAAGGAAAAGCAGTTATTTACAAGTAAGTCATGGCTGTGCTGTTTTTTCATTAAAGATACTTGGCTGGGTTTCCACCCCTGCCGTCCTTTTAAGCTCTGGGAGCAGTGCCGAGGCACACCAGGCTCCTGTGGCGGGGCATCAGGCATCACCCACCTCTACGGCTGGATGAGGTGACAACTTTCCTCAACTTTTTCTGGTTTTAAAGAACAAACTGCTGGGTTGCTTGGGTGGCTCAGTCGGTTAAGCATCTGACTCTGGATTTCAGCTCAGGTCGTGATCTCACAGTTCATGAGTTTGAGTTCATGAGCCCTGCATTGGGCTTTGTGTTGACAGCACAGAGCCTGCTTCTGATTCTCTCTCCCTTCTCTCTTAGCCCCTCCCCCACTTGCAGTCTCTCTCAAACAAACAAAAAACTAAAAAAAAAACTTAAAAAAATAAAGAACAAACTGTTAACACGTTCAGAAATAACAAGCACAGACAGATGATAAATTATTAACTCAAAGGTTAGATTTTTCATTGGAATTGAAGCAGTAAAAATGGAAGTTTTGGACTAGTTTTGGTGGATAGTAGGTATACCCCTTGAAGAGATGTTATAAGCAGAGTGGTGGTCCTTATTCTTGTGTGTGTGACTGAGGGAAACATCTCAATTAACTAGTTATGGGATTAAAGTAAGAGATCTCTCTACATAGTTACATAATGTGTTTATCTGATTAAAACTAATGAGATCCATTAGATGTTGCTGCAGGTAATGTGAAATGGTGCAGCCTCTTTGGAAAATAGTTTGGCACTTTCTCAAAATGTGAAACATTAAGCAATGCAACTCCTACTCAGGAGAAATGGAAACATATGTCCATAAAGACTTATACATGAATTCACACTAGCCAAAAAGTGGAAATAACCCAAATATTCTGGTAAATGGATGAACAAAATGTGATATATCTATACACGGAGTATTTGGTGTTTAAAAGGAAAGAACTACTGATACATGTTATTAAATGGATGAACCTCAAAACTATTATATTCAGTGAAAGAGGACAATCACAAAAGAGCACATATTGTATGATTGTATTTATGTGAAATGTCCAGAAAGGCAGATCTATAGAGACAGGAAGTAGATTGTTGTTGAGCTAGGGCTAGGGCTGGGAATGGAGAGTGACTCTAGATGAGCATGAGATTTTTAGACTGATAGAAATGCTCTAAGATTATGGTGATGGTTGCACAACTCTGTAAAATACAAAAATTATTGATTTGTACACTTAAAATGAGTGAATTTCATGATGTATAAGTTATTACCTCAGTAAAGCTGTTGATAATAATAAAACAAGAACCTGGGGTGCCTGGGTAGCTCAGTTGGTTGTGTCTGGCTCTTGATTTTGGCTCAGGTCATGATCCCAGGGTTGTGGGAATGAGCCCTGTGTCAGGCTCCACACTGAGCACGGAGCCTGCTTAAGATTTTCTCCCTCTCTTTTTGCCCTTCTCCCACTCACACAAGTGCACTTGCGCACTCTCTCTCTCAAATAAAAAATAAAAGAAACTAGCAAAGCAGAAGAAAAATGAGCTTGTGCAGTGTTGTTTAGGAGGTTGACGTACAATTCTCGGTCCCTAAAAAGCCTCAAAGTAAGTTGCGGTATGGCAGAAGCCCCAGGGCTTTTAGAAATGAGGCTGGCATGGGCAGCAGAGAGAATGACTAAAGGTAGAAGCAGATGACTTTTAGAGACGGATCTGGCCATTGTTCTAGAGGTGTGGTTTAACAATTGGCTGCATTTTGAATGGGATATTTGAATTGAGGAATAGTAGAAAGTATTGACGCTAAACCCTATTCACTTGATAACTAAAGGCCTTAAAAAATGGAATGAGTCAAAAACACTCTTGTAGGTCTCAATAGAATAAGTTTCTGTACAAGCCCTAACTGCCACAGTCTCATACGGACCTGTGTGGGTCAGGTTTTAGGATGGTAAAAATTTAAATTTAATTTCTGTATATAATGTAAAAGGAGGGGTTTTGTCCTCAAATATCTCTTCTAGCAGAATGGGATCCAGATATGAAAGAGAATATTGCAAGTTGGAGTACCTGGGGGCCTATATTTTAGACCACTTAAATCTATGAGTTCCCCTTGGAAAAAGGAGGTGGAAGATTAGATTCTGGTCTCTGAATTAGGGAAACATCCCAATTATGGCATTAGGGGTGGAGAAGGCATATTTGTTTTTGGCAAGTTAGACCTTCCTTGGGAAGACACAGTAGACTGCTCTGTGAGGGGGTCATTGACCCTGAAAGAGCCTGACTCAGCTGTTTGATTAAGCAGCAGAGAGATTTCAAATGAAGCTATTCTTAGAGCAGGGTATTGCTATTTATTTGGGTTTCTTTTCCGTAAAAAATATGTAAATTCAAATAGAACTCATCAACTTCAAATTAAAATCTTAAATGCTGCAATTGAGTTGGTTTTTAAGAGCATTCTTTATGGTTCCTTCCTATGGAAACAAAAGATCATCCTTTCTGGTAAAAAAAGCCTCTAAGTACTCATGAGAGAAAAGAATCTAAGTCCCAAAGAGGCCAACTGTGAAGGGCCCTTTTTTCCGTGGCCCTCAGCCAAGAAAGAAAGGGAAGAGCACCAGGATGTGGTGAGTGCTGGGATAGTCCTGTTTTGCCATACACAAGGTAGCAATTGCTGATACCAAAGTCTGAGCAGTTGGGAGCTTCTCTGTATGACAGGCCTTCAGGAAGAGAGGAGGCAGTGGAATGTACCCCTTTACCCCAAACAAGGCAAAAGAGAGAGTAGAAGAAACTGAGAAGCAGCTTCCTTTATTCAGAGGGAATGGAGAGAATTGCCCTGAGAGTTACACAATGGATATGCCTTCTGGTATGTGGGCTATCAGATTTTCCTACCTCTTCTTGTGAATTTTCACCCTTCTTGTCTCCCCACCATCTCTATTATCTCTGCTGTTTGCCACTTATACATCCAAGCCAGGTCCTAAATTTTGTTTTCCTTAACTAAAATGGGTAGAAAATTTTCAAAAGAATCATGTACTAAATGAAATGTGGTAAAATTTAAGAAGTAAAGTAAAAGCCCCAAAATGTAAAATGTGTAGAAATATAGGTGTTCACAGATTTCTCGTCCTAACATAACTACAACTAAACTTGGAGGCCATGTGACTGGTGTAGCTTAGTCTCTACTGCTTCCAGGTCGGCTTGCCACTTTTCTTCCTCAGTTCTCTTCTCTACCCTGTGCCCAAGGCTCTGGACTGGAGCCTTTTTAGGAATGGATTTGGAGGAGAAGTCACAGCCCACCCTCCTCATCTGCTGGTTAGAAATCAATACGGGAATGGCGTGTTAGTCTGAATAAACCATTTTTCCATCTTCTTTTCTGTCTCTCCATTTCCTTACTCCCACCCGCAAAGGATAAGAGAACTACTTTTTTTTTTTTTTAAACTCATAGAAGTTTTAGTAAAACTTTATTTTGTAGTTTAACTCCTTTTAGTGTCCTGTTTTAGTATCCTCCCATGTGCTTGTTTGCTTTCTTCCTCAAAATGTAACAAGCACCTCCTCTGAGCTGGGCAGTATTTGAGGGGCATAGTCATAAACAAAGGAGATAAATCTCTGGTCCCTAGGAGCTTACATTTGATGGGGGAGACAGACAATAAACCAATAAATGTGTGAGCTGGTAATAAGTGCAATGAGGAAAATAAAACCAGTAAAGCAGGGCAGGAGAACTATATCAACAGATCAGGCTTCAGTGGACAGCAGGGGAAAAAAATAAATTGCTTTACACTGATACCTTATGAATCCTCCTTATATATTGTAATGGTTATAAGTATCTTGAATTTAACCAGCCCCCAGAAGGATTATTCTTTACTTTTATATTTGTGTCCCTCTTTCTGCCAAACTTGCTTTGCCTCCAGATTTCCCATTGTTCAGGTGGGTAGGATTAGAATCCACTCAAGACCCTTCAGGACAAAAATCCAAGTGTTGTCTTTGATTTCTTGCTTTACTCACTTCCTACGTCTAACAGGTACTGAGTTCTGTCGGTTTATTCACTTTTCAGTTCCTCGCTGCTACTACCAGCTCAAGCCATTGTGATCTTAACTGGCTTAGTGCATTGGCCTTCTAGTCTTCCTGCTTCTGCTGTTGCCCCTGTAGAATCAGTTCTCCATGCAGAAGCTATATTCATTAAAAAAAAAAAAATGTTAGATTTCTTCCCTACTCGAAACCGTTGAATGATTTCCCTTCAGGCTTTGGATTTTATTCTGATTCCTTACCATGGTCTCTAAGTCCCTATCCCGTTAGGCACCTGCCTCCTCTCCAACCTCATCTCCTGTTTTCTCTCTACAGTCCTTATGCTCCAGCCTCCCCAGCTTTGTTTTTGTTTTCTTAATATACCAACTTCATTCCCATCTCAGGCTTTTGCTTCTGCTAGTCCTTCTACTTGGAACACTCTTTCCCCAGATCCATGTCTCCCTCAGTTCACCCAGACTTCTGTACAGATGTCTTCTCAAAGAAGACTTCCCTGACTTCTCTACCTAAAATAGTCCCCCTCATGCATTCATATATCCTCCCCACACCCTTTACCTGCCCTCTGGGACTCAAATGGAGGGCAGGATAAGCCGCCAATTGTAAGAGAAAGGAAGGCAGAGTACATGGATATAGCATGGTGAATTTTTGAAGGAACATTGTTGACTTCTGTTTACCTCATTTTCTTAGTGAAGTCAGGTCATCTGTCAGCTGATAGTGAATGTGGAGGAGCAAGATTCAGAGGTTTGAAAAAAGGGAGGAAAGGAAGGTAGTATTTTCTAAATCATAGTAATTGTAGTATGTCCTAGTACCCCAGACATCCTGACATATGAAAGCAAGACCGTGGGGGAGGTCCCTCAACTCCTGTCAAACACCAACGATCTACCCCAGAATCTCTGTGTCCCAGAATCTCTGCAAGTTTCTGAATCCGGATAGAGGAGAGGCTGAGGCAGGTTTGGGTGGGGCCCTGGCCTGCGAGATGAGTCACTTGGCTCTGGCAGCAGTAGGCTTCAGGGGTTCAGCTCAGCTGAGCTAAGGAATTCTTTCTGCTCTTGTTAGCCTCTTGTTCCTATATCACATGTAACTCTTCTTTTCTGTCATCTTCCAAAGGTTTTAGCAACCAAGGAGCACACACCTTGACCTTGATTGGTAAGAGGAAACAAATGATTCAGAGAAGCCACTTGCCAGCAGGATTCATTCAGGTTGAGGACCAAGGAAGGCACTAAGCACCTCCAATAAACTTCACTAAAGTTCAGTGTCTGCATGATAATTAAGAAATCACAATACCTTGTGTTGACAATTATTACAAATGTATGTTCCCTAGAAGTTAATTATTGCCTGAAAGAGCCAATAAAAATAATGATAGCTGTGGCGCCTGGGTGGCTCAGTTGGTTAAGCCTCTGACTTCTGATTTCTGTTCAGGTCATGATCTCATGGTTCAGGAGTTTGAGCCCCATGTAGGGCTCTGTACTGACATTGTGAAGCCTGCTTGGGATTCTCTTTCTGTCTCTCTCTCCCTCTTCCCCTCCCCCCTCCCGTGTTCTCTCTCTCTCATAAAATAAATAAATTTTTAAAAATGATAGCTACCTTACTAAATGCCTCTATTAATTCACTTGGTCTTTCCCAAAATCAAGGTAGGTGTGCTCCCTTTGGTCATGCACCCTTAAAATCCATTGCCACATATTCTCCCCAGGTTTTCTAACAGTTTTTAGAAAATTTTAAAAATTTGAGTATGATTATACACTTGGTGATTTTTGATTCTGTCTCTCACCCTCTGGTTCCTGTTGAGTCTGACTCCTAGTTTCGGGACGACACAGTAAGACAGGAGAGCAGAATTTTGTTTTTCTTAGGCAAAGGGGACACTAAAAATCATTCCTCTTCTAATTGTAGCCCTAGATCATACAGATAAACTGTTCTCTGTAGTATCAGTTTACAAGAGGTCAGTTCATTTGAAACCAATCAAAACATAGGGTGGTGTTGGTTGGGCAGTTGAAGGCCCCACGTGTGTGGGCGTGGCCTCTCAGGGGTGGGGGTGGGGGTCCTCCTCCTCCCTGACCTCCCCCCATCCTTGGCGTCTCCTGCGGTCACAAGAAAAGGGTGAGGGCATTGAGTGAAGTGGAGCTTCCGGTTTCAACCCAGTGCTTAAAAGTTTGTTTTTAAAAGGACGTTCCCTTTTCCCCCTTGCAATACTCCATCTGGTAGTGGTTAGCTGCCAGGGGAGGGGGTGGGGGGGTCTGGAGTCGCTGTCCCGCGTTTCGGTCAGTGAGCTCACCACCATGGAGCCCCAGGCTGGGTGGGCAACCCCACGGCATACGTAGGGGAGGCGTAACCACCTCTTTTGATATTGAGTCTTGGGGTTGCTGAGGATTTCGTTTTTGTTTGTTTTACTTCGGGACTCTACCACTAGCCAGAGCCAGGATTCAATCTGCTTTGTGCCTTACTCAATCTCTTCAATTTACTGTTTCCCCTCAGGGATCCTATTATCTATGGCTTCCAAGAAAGCGTCCACCTATGGTGAACATTTCAGGCCAGAAAAATTAAAAGAATGGCCAGAGCCTGATCCGTTGCTTTAATGGAGGTAAAGTAACGTGGCATTTGGGGCCGTTATTTTGGCGATGGGACATAAATCCCTTGAGAACTATTTTTTCTTAGGTTGGATTCCCCAGAACTCGAACAGTGCCTTGTAGAAGCGAGGCACTGGAAGGAATTCACTGAATGGGAACGATCCAGGACCAGATTTGACCAAGAGTGGTTCGAGTGCGCCTGCTGTCACCCGCTGGAGGTTCAGGGCACTGACCAGGGGGGATGGTGGGCGGGTACGGTTGCAGTCCCCAGTCCCTGAGCTCGGCTGGTGGAGAGGCCAGGTCTACACTTGCAAGTTGATTCTGGTAAAAGCGATGATTTCCTCACAAAGAAAGTGTCATTATTTTACATGAGCCTATAATTTGCCTCACTGTAAAGAAAAGTTCTTGGAGTAGTCCTTCATTTTGCTCCTTTTTGCAGTGGTAGCAGTAAAAGTGGTTGAGATCTTTAACGTGTGTGTGCGTGCGCGCTAACTCACAAAAAGCTGTGCGTTTCAAAAATGCTGCCAAAAATCATTAACATCTTATAATTTCTGGCAAAATCATGAAGGAGTTTTACTGACGACAAAAAGTATTTCCTTAAACAAAAAGTAGTTTGAAAATCAGACATATGATCAATATTATAATATTTGCTGATAATGTTAATAGGATAGGTTTTTAAAAAACGTGATTTGGGGCATCTGGGTGGCTCAGTCGGTTGACTTCAGGTGCTGGTCATGATCTCACGGTTTGTGAGTTTGAGCCCCACATCAGGCTCACTGCTATCAGGCTAGAGCCTGCTTCAGATCCTTTGTACCCCTCTTCCCCCCACAATGTGATTTTCCAAGATGTTTGTCAAAGTAGATGTTTATACTTCTCCAAATAAATAGATTGATTTATTCTAGGTGTATAGTATCAGGGGAAAACATTTAATTGTTTTACATGATATTTCAATTGCTGTCTCAAAATGAGTCTAAGAAGGATTCAAAGCAAGATTCTGCTTACATTAACAAGACAGTTTTATTTTGAAGACCTGAAGAGATGTCTGAATATTATTTTAGATTTCATGTGATGCTGTTATATATATGGGTATAAATACAACTCTTCTTTTTTGAGACTTCTATTATTCACAGATTTGTTATCCGAGTTTGGGGTCTAGTTTGTTTTGATGCATTCACTGTGGCAGAGCTGAAAGAAGAGCCAGAGATTGAAAAACATAGTTTTAAGAACCTGTATCATTAAAAATTTTTTTTAAACATTTATTATTGAGAGACAGAGACTGAGCATGAGCATGGGAGTGGAAAGAGGGGGAGACACAGAATCTGAAGCGGGCTCCAGGCTCTGTGCTGACAGCACAGATGCGGGGCTTGAACCCACGAACTTCAAGATCGTGACCTGAGCTGAAGTCGGACACTTAACTGACTTAGCCACCCAGCGCCCCAACCTGTATCATTTTACACTCATTCTTGGTAATAGCATTTCTCTTCCAGATACTGGATTTTTATTGCCTTTCATTTGTTCCTCCTCAGTCCTATAAGCATAAAGCTGGAAGATCAGTTCATAGCGATCCAGATGAAAAGCCCTAAGGTGATAATTCCTGAACCTGGGTTCACAGAGAATCATGTTTGAAAATTTCCCTTAATAACACAGGAAACAACAGCTGTTGGCAATGAAGCAGACAAAGGGGAACCCTCTGAAACTGTTGGTGGGAATGCAAACTGGTTCAGCCACTCTGGAGAACAATACGGAGGTTGCTCAGGAAACTAAAAATAGAACATCACCCATGATCCAGCAATTATACTATTAGGTATTTACTGAAAAGATACAAAAATACAGATTTGAAGGATACATGCACCCAGTGTTTATAGCAGCATTCATCAACAATAGCCAAAATACGGAGAGAGTCCAAATGTCTATTGACTGATGAACAGATAAAGAAGATGTGGTATGTATACACATTGTAATATTACTCATCCATCAAAAAGAATAAAATCCTGCTATTTGCAATCATATGGATGGAGCTAGAGCATTTTATGCTAAGCAAAATAAATCAGAGACAAATGCCATATGATCTCACTCTTATATGGAATTTAAGAAACAAAACAGATGAACATATGTGAGGGAAAGGGAGAGAAGAGGGAAACAAACCACAAGAGACTTTTTTTTTTAAATGTTTATTTCTGAGAGAGGGAGAGAGAGAGACAGTGTGAGCAGGGGAGGGTCAGAGAGAGAGGGAGACACAGAATCTGAAACAGGCTCCAGGCTTAGAGCTAGCTGTCAGCACACAGCCGGACGCAGGGCTGGAATCCATGAACCGCGAGATCATGACCTGAGCCAAAGTTGGACACTTAACCGACTGAGCCGCCCAGGCTCCCCGAGAGACTCTTGATGGTAGAGAACAAACTATATGTTGATGGAGGGAGGTGGGTGGGAGATGGGCCAGATGGGTAATGGGTACTAAGGGGCACATTTGTGCTGAGCACTGGGTGTTGTATGTAAGAGGTGAATCACTGAATTCTAATGAAACCAATGTCACACTGTATGTTAACTAAAATTTAAATTTAAAAAATTTTCCTTAATAAAAAGTTACAAAATATTCTTTGAAGTATAGGCAGTAGATTTACAGTAAAACTATTGGTAAAATACAATGAATTTTGTCATTCTGGTTGTTTCTTTAAGATTTACATCCTAATATTTAATTCTGTAATTTTAGGTGTTAGCTAGAGAAGACATTGATGAGGCTGTACATGCAGTGTTATTTAGAGAAAATGACATTGCCAAGGTAAGAGTTGGCTACAGACTGGATTCTAAGCATTTTCTAGGTAAGCAAGAGTGGTGCAGTGCAACATGGCTAAGAGGATATCACTGTGTCACAGAGATTCATTTTGCTGGGAGAATGAATCTCTGATTTGTTTATACAACATATCTGAGATTGCACCACCTCCTTTCAGGATCACTAAGTAGTCTGGATTCCTAGATCTGCCCTTAAAGGATCTGAGAGATTGTTCTAACAGCTCCCCTTCTTTGTTCTGGTACTGAATAGAAATTCTTTCTGACTAAAATTTACCTCTTTCTTATATGTTCTCGCCCCCATTGAAATGGGGATACATAAAACCACCAGAAATCGTATTTGAGGGTAATGACCAATTACTACTGAGAGTCACTATGATATTAATAAGAGTTTGCATTTTAATGAGATTGAAATTTGGTGTTACAGTGGTACTTTAATGTTTGTATTGTAATTTATAAAGGAAGTTCATGTATATTTTCATTTAAGCATCAAAAAGAGGTAGGTGGGGGGCTCCTGGAGGGCTCTGTTGGTTAAGCGTCTGACTCTGGGTTTTGGCTCAGGTCATGATCTCATGGGTTTGAGCCCCATGTTGGGCTCCATGCTAACAGCATGCAGGGTGCTTGGTATTCTCTATCTCTTCTCTCTCTGCCCCTTCCCCACTTCCACTGTCTCTGTCTCTCTCCAAATAAAAAAATAAACTTGAAAAAAAAAAAAAGAGGGGGGTGCCTGGGTGGCTCAGTCAGTTGAGCGCTAACTTCGCCTCAGGTCATAATCTCACCATTGGTAAATTCAAGCCTTACCACAACTACAAGTTGTGCTGTAGTGCACTGTGCTGACAGTGCAGAGCTTGGAGCCTGCTTCGGATCCTGTGTCTGCCTCTCCCTGCCCCTCCTCCTGCTTGTGCTCTGTCTCTGTCTCTCTCTCTCTCTCTCAAAAATAAAATAAACATAAAAAAGAAAAAAAAAGAGGTAGGTGGGATTACCTTCCTATAGATTCAGACAGAGGAGCAAGTCTAGCATCCTTTCTACTCCACCAGTTTTGTCACAGACTTTACTGATGATAAAGGCTAGAGGTGTGCAGTGGGTGACAGGAATGCTTTGAAATCCTTTTTAAAAAAAAGGAGTTTCATGAGTTAGAAATGGTTTGAATGTCATTTAACCTACAGGCACACTTCTGCTTTAGAACCTTTCATGGGTTCTTCCTGCTCCATGCTCTCATGTTCTCCTCCTGAACTTTATTGTGTTCTTCAATTATCTTACGCTAGGACCTTGCAACCCAAATGTGTTGAGAGTTTAAAATTGGGAACAAGTGTTTCTCCCCCTTATTCAAATGACAATAAATAGAAACCTTAACAATTTGTTTTCCTTGTTTGTATCATTTCGTTAGAGACTGGATATGTATTTTCAGCATCTGGATATTTTTAAGGAAAGAAGAAAAGAGATGTTACATAAAAAATGGATTGAAAATGTTGCAGAGCCTCTCCAGCAGAGAATTGCAGAAAATGTAATTTCATATGGAGGGTTGGAGAAAATGAAACAAGAAGAATCTTGAATGTATTTTAAAGCACACAAATAAAAGGGTACTGAGAATTCTTTTCTTTTTTCTTTTTTTTTTAATGTTTTTATTTATTTCTAGGAGAGAGAGAGAGCGTGAGCAGGGGAGGGTCAGAGAGAGAGGGAATCACGGACTCTGAAACAGGCTCCAGGCTCCAAGCTGGCAGTCAGCACAGAGCCCGATGCGGGGCTCGAACCCACGAACCACGAGATCATGACCTAAGCGAAAGTCAGATGCTTAACCGACTAAGCCACCCAGGCGCCCCTCTTTTCTTTTTTCTTAATAAAGTATACTTTAAAGAGCTGGGCCAACATTTTCACTGGTTATGATGCAAGGGGTCCTGACATTATTTTTGTATTTAAGATGAATTCATGGAATTGTACATTTTTAAACCTGGAGTTTCAGAAGGAGGGAATACAAGTATTCATCTGGAACTAGATTTATCAGGAATGCTTTTAAGCAAATGTAAAGATAATAGCAGTACCTTAAATCATAAGGACATTTATGTTTACTTAATGAGAAATTGATGGATAGGTGTCTCATGGTAGGTTCTGTCAGTGTAGCAATGTCATTAATCACCCAGGTTTTTTCCTATAGTTCTTTTCTGCTATCCTTAATATTTTTGGTTTTTCCTCATCACTCTTATATTTGTAAGCACATTTGGTTACTTACAGCTTCAGGTGCTGGGTCTATGCTCAAGGCAGGAAGAAGCGGTAAGGAATGGTGCCAGGGTTCCCTTTTCTTATATCTGATCCTTTGATCTGGAAGCAAAAAGAGTCTCTAGAAGCTCCTAGCAGATTTCCCCTTAGGTCCCCTTGGCCATAACTGGGTCACATTGCAAGTCCTAGCTAGAGGCAGGGCCAGGAAAGAGAGCTTTCCGATCTCTTGAGTAGGAAGAGGGTAAGGGAGAAAGGGTTTCTATGCTATTGAGTCAGCCAACCATTAGGTGTAGGGACCACAGCTTTCTACATACTATTCTTCAATTTGGTTTTATAAAAGAATAACACTTTGCTGCTTCTTTAGAAGATTTTTCTGTTTTAATTTTGAGGTCAGGACCTCTTTTGGAATTTAGGTCTGCCTAAATTTCCAGGTATTTACTGGAGATCTAGAGTAGTTTGCCTGGAATGTTAGAGTATTGATTTGCTGAGCAAAATTTCTGGATATGAACATTAAATACTTCTTCCTAAGCACTCTAAGAGGCAGGGCTCAGTGTCAAATCCAGGACCCTTTGAAACCAAAGTGCACAGGCTTACAGTTGTGCCCAGAAATGTGATTGTACAAGTACAGGATGCAGAAGCCACACCTTAGAAAAGGCATGTGTTGAAGTCAGAGTGGTTTCAAAAGTTTTTTTTAATGTTTATTTTGAGAAAGAGCAAGCGAGACAGAATGCGAGCAGGGAAAGGGGCAGAGAGAGAGAGAGAGAGAGGGAGACACAGAATCTGAAGCAGGCTCCAGGCCCTAGCTGTCAGCATGGAGCCCAACGTGGGGCTTGAGCTCACAAACTGTGAGATCATGACCTGAGCTGAAGTCAGAGGCTCAACCAACTGAGACACCCAGGCGCCCTTGGAGTGGTTTTAAATGACAGTAAATTCAATGGGAGTTGACTATGGGAGTTGACTTCTGAGAAAACATCTGGGCTCTTAGGTTCGTATTCAGGGAGGCGGTGCTTGGAGTGGGAAGCATCAAAGTCCACCCTGTTGCTATCTTGTCACTCCTGATTCACACTGTGGAGGCAAACTTCACCAATTGCAGAAGCTTTAGGAGAGGTTGGAGGCTTGACAACACCTCATGGGAGGAGAAGTGGGAAGAAACATGGGTTATTTAGTCTGAGGAAGAAATGACAGGAGTGGGGATGAAAAAGTTTAAACATTTAAAAGAGTGCCAGGTGGGTGATGGGTAGATAAATACTGTGTTCTTTCGAGGTAGAATACTAGTGTCTCCCCGTGGCAGTGCCAAGGCAGATGTCAACCCCGTCTAAGGACAAACTGGTGGTTAGAATGAGCAAAAGAATTCCTGGCTGGCCGAGCAAAAAGTCCTCAGACTAAGGCTAGTTGATGAGTTCAGACTAAAGCTTGATGCTTGCTTCTGCCAGAAGGTGGTGGGCTGTCACTGCGGTCTAAACTACCTCTGAGGTAGGTTTCTTCTAACCCTTTGACTCTGATTTTCTGTAAAAATAGAATAAAGCATTTGGCTTTTTTGAATCTTGCAAAACACACTTGTATATGGTGGTTTGCTCTTAGGTGTAATTTTTTTTTTTCTAAAGGAAATTGTATTTGGAAATTGTTATCCTGAAGTATACAATACTTTTTTATATGACAAAAAAGGACCCAAATTATGTAAAGGTAAGTAAGTTTCTTTCATTCATTCATTCACTCTTGAAGCTCTGGGGTTGGGGAAAACCAGCCATTTTAGAAGTCTTCTGGTTATCCTGTATTCATGAAAACATCCATAAAAGCATTTCCTCTGAGTTTTAGATTAGGAACCCAAAGTAATTTCACCCATGGGGAAATTTACATGTGTGTGAGATAATGTTTCTATGCATTCATTCCTCCATTCACCAGTAGCAAACTGGAAGCCCTGGAGGGAAAGGAAGACCTGGGCAGCAAGTGCAGTGGGGTGTGACAAGTGTCACAGAAGTAGTGCAGGGAGCAATGGCCCGAGAGGCAGTGCTCTTCTCTGTGGAAGGTGGAAGGAGGAGATGCAGGAAGTGCTGACCAGAGAACAGTAGTTGGGCCTGTAATGAGTGTTCACGTTTTAAACTTGCCAATAAAGGAGTTAAAAGTTTGAGATTTTTTTTTTTTTTTTTTTTTTTTTTTACTCCTGTGTAGGAAAAGTCACTTAAAAATACCTATGTGGCTCTGAGGAGAGAAGTGGTTGGTTTTGCTTCTCCCAGAAAACCAAGGCAGATGACTGTTAGGAAGATAGGAAGGTTCCTTTGGCTCTGGGAGGCTCGCTAGTATGGTGTTGGTCAGTCATTTTGCTGCCTTGCTTATTCAGTAACTGCCTCATACATACTTTGGGGACCAGCATTGGGCCAGATGTACGGGGGAAAGTAAAGAAGGGGAAAATGGTTTCTAGTCTAAAGCCCATAATCAGGAATGGGGAGGAGAAAACCACCTCTGTCCACAACCTCTGCACCCCAGCCTCTCGACACCCACACTGAGGTGTACCTGCCCTCCTGTTCTCACAGACCCTTACAGACTGGTGGTCAGCTCTCCCAGGAGCACTCTTACTCTCAGGCCACTGAGGAGCACTGCCTTGTGCTCCTCAGCTTTAGGAAAAGCATCCTGAGCTGATACCTCGTGACTAGATTGTCACTGTGTATGACTTTCTGTTCTAAACGGAGAGGTTCTTGAGGATAGGAATTTACTGTGGGAGGCTGCACGCGGTGGCATCAGCACATGTTATTGACTGGTGCACTGATGCAGTAGAAGTCTTGATGGGGTGTGCCACTTCTATTGGGGGACCCTCCTTCTAGTCACCCACTTATGGCTCAGTGAAATGTCCTAATGTGAGACAGATAGCCTTTACCCTTTCCCGGCTACATGGGGTGACATTATTCATGGGTCCTTAGTCTTTGGTGTAAGACTGTACTTGAATGCTTCGGACAGATTTAGCTTGATACAAACTGCACTTGGGTCCTCAAAGTTATTTTTCTTGAAGGTTATGGTGCTATCATTTTGTGATTCCCTGTTTAGAAGACGGCAAGAGATGGATGAAGAGAAGAGAGCTGTTTTTCAATATAAGACAGGTACTTTGTGATCACTGGACTTTATTTTTAGAGACTTCTAATTTTTGGGTGATTTCCTACCAGAAAAGTGACTGAAGATGACATTAAGAGTATCAATTTAGATTTTTTTTTTAATCTTCCTGTAGGAAAACGACATATTTTGAAAGAATGTAAAGACCTAGAGAAGACCAGGCTTTATGCCACATTGCCCCATTTCACTTTTACTCTACATGATGTTATTCCAAAAGAGTGGCATAAAGCCTCTGTGAGATGTGAGAAGTAAAATGTATAGTAAACGGAGGTAAGTGTGCACTAACTAATGAACGGATTCTTGTACTGTCTCCATTGTTTTGCCTTTTACAGAATATCATGTGGTTAGAATAGCACAGTATAGCTATGGCCTTTTCCAGATTTTTACCTTTATCCCTTAAGGATGTTTTCACAGGATTAAGAATATTAGGTTGGCAATTTTTAAAAAGTTTTTATTTATTTATTTTGAGAGAGAGGTAGAGAGAGAATGAGCAGGGTAGGGGCAGAGAGAGAGGGGACAGAAGGTCCAAAGCAGGATCTCTGCTGACAGCAGAGAGCCCGATGTAGGGCTCAAACTCATGAACCATGATATCATGACCTGAGCTGAAGTTGGATGCTTAACTGACTGAGCCACCCAGGCGCCCCTTCCCATAAGATAGTTTTAATCAACATGCAGGAGCTTGATAAGAAAATCCATTCATACCTGTAGGATAACAGCCACTTTTAAGAGCTGGTCCCAGTACACTAACCACATTTCCCAGTGAGTGTTACTAATAGCAGATTTATTTATTTTTCTTCTTCCTGTCTTAATTACTTTAAAGATTTTTTCCCACAGACTTTTTATTTTATTTTTTTAATAAGTATTTTAATCACCCAGTTCTCATCCCAACAACTGGGCTCCTGAATCTTCATTACCTATTTAACCCATCCTCTAACCCACCTCTCCTCTGGTAAGTATCAGTTCTCTATAGTTTAGAGTTTGGGGGTGTCTGGGTGGTTCAGTCATCTGAGCGTCCAGTTTTGATTTCAGCTCAGTTTCTTGATTTTGTCCAGTTCTTGATTTCATGATCCCAGGGTTGTGGGATTGAGCCCTTTGTTGAACTCCACGCTGAGCATGGAGCCTGCTTAAGATTCTCTTTCCCTTTGCCTCTCTTCCCCGCTTGTGCTTTCTATTGTTGTCTCTTAAAAAAAAATGTTTCCTGCTTTTTTTTTTTCAAAAAAAAAGTCTGTTTCTTGGTTTGTCTCTCTTTTCCCCCAATTGCTCATTTATTTTGTTTTTTAAACTCCACATATGAATGAAAACATAAGGTATTTGTCTTTCACTGACTTATTTCACTTAGCATTAAATTCTCTAGGGCCATCCATGTTGTTGCAAATGGAAAGATTTCATTCTTTTTTATGGTTGAATGATTCCATTGTATGTATGTATGTATATACCACATCTTCTTTATCTGTTTATCTATCAATGGACACTTGGTCTGCTTCCATATCTTTGCTATTGTAATTAATGCTGCTATAAATACAGGCATGCATATATCCCATTGAATTAGTGTTTTTGTATTCTTTAGGTAAATACACAGTAGTGCAATTGCTGGATCACAGAATGTTTCTCTTCTTAACTTTTTGGGGACCTCCATCCTGTTTTCCAAGGTGGTACACCAGTTTGCATTCCCACCAACAGTGTAAGAGGGTTTTCCTTTCCCCACCTCCCTGCCACTACCTGTTGTTTCATGTGTTGTTGATTTTAGCCATTATGACAGGTCTGAGGTGGTATCTCATTGTAATTTTGATTTGCATTTCCCTGATGATAAGTGTTGATGAACACTTTTGCATATCTGTTGGCAATCTGTATGTCAGGAATATATTCCACTTGATTGCAGCGAATAATTTTTTCAGTGAATTGCTGAATTCGGTTTGCTAATATTTTGTTGAGGATTTCACATCTACATTAATCAGAGATATTGGCCTATAGTTCTGTGTGTGTGTGTGTGTGTGTGTGTGTGTGTGTGTGTGTATGATGTCTTTATCTTGTTTTGATATCAGGGTAATGCTGGTGTAATAGAATGAATTTGTAAATTTTCTTTCCTTATCAAGTTTTGGAAGAGTTTGTCTCCTCCCCATGTTTTAGGTATATGGTGTCATATTTTACATCCTTTTATTTTGTGAATTCCTTGACAAAAATATTCATGTTTACTGGGTTTGTGTTTCCTGCCTTCATTCTGTCACTTTTGGTCTTTCCACTCAGAGTTCCCTTTAATATTTCTTGCTGGGCTGGTTCAGTGGTCATGAACTCCTTTAGTTTTTGTTTGTCTGGGAAACTCTTGATCTGTCCCTCTAGTCTTGCTAGAGAGAATATTCTTGGCTACAGGTTTTCCCCATTCAGCACTTTAAGTATATCCTATCATTCCTTTATGGTTTGGAAAGTTCCTGCTGAAAAATTCACTGATAAGCCTTTGGGGTTTCCTTTGTATGTAACTATCTTTTTTATATTACTGCTTTTAATCCTTTTTATTACTATATTTTGCCATCTTAATTATGTCTTGGATATTCTTTTGTTGATTTTCTTGGGCGGTTCTCTGCACTTCTTGGATTAGATGTTTCCTTCCCTAGATTAAGTAAGTTTTCAGCTATTATTTCTTCAAAATTTATGCCCCATTTTCTTTCTCTTCTTCTTGTGGGATTCCTATTATATGAGTGTTATTACATTTGATTGAGTCACTGAGTTCCCTAAGTCTGTTCTCATTTTGCATAAATTCTTTTTTCTCTCTTTTGTTTAGCTTGATTACTTTCCAGTACTCTGTCTTCTAGGTCATTAATTCATTCTTCCGCTTCTTCCAGCCTGCTGTTCATTCCATCGTGTGTGAGCCCTGTCACCACTGTCCCTGGAACTGAGGCTCTGCAAAACTCCCAGGGCAGGAAATGTGGTGTGGGCAGAGATGTGGGCCCATCTTCTGGGGAAGGGAGGCCTGTTTCACTGGGACAGAGGCAAGTGTGATTTTATTTTATTTTTTATTTTTATTTTTTTTTCAAGAGAATATTAAATCGTTTATTGATTACACATGATAATGGATGATACACAAGCTTTAATCCCATCTATAATTTTATCTGATACCATGATTCAATTTAGATATATTGCATAGGATGTGCCAACAATCATATTAATAACCAAATAAACTCCAGGACTTTGCTTGGGTGACCCTTTTAACGGTGAACTCCAGGTCACAACACATTAACTGTCAGTTCAACCACACCAATGTTTGTGGAGACAATGGATTCTGTGCCCAAGCAGGTTGCAAATAAAATTTCAAATGGAACCTGGCATCACCCTGAAGGAATTCTAACTTCACACTGTTGGGGTAGTTTACCAAGATGGCTTCAGAGTAGACTAACTTTACACAGCACATTTAAAAAAAGACACATTTATTCAGCGTCATGATCAGACTATTACATTTAGCAATCAACAGCATGGGGGAAAAAAAAAAAATCTACATTAAAACCCTTTGTTGGAATGCTTTACACTTTCCACAGAACAGAAACTAAAATAACCTGTTATACAATTAGTCACAAATACAGTCCTCGAGTTTTTTGCCCATACACATGAGTATTGTCTAAAACATGTCTTCTTTGTAGCAGCTAGGCCCTGCCACCACTGTGCTTGGCTGAGTTCACAAATCTGTTGTAACCTGTAGCTTCCCTGTCACTTCTCTGGCTCTCCTCTCCTGCTAAGCTTTGTTTCCTGGCAGTAATTAAAACCTTCTGCCACTGCCATAGCTACTGCTGCTGCTGGAACCGCCATAGCCACCTTGGTTTCGTGGTTTGGCAAAGTATTGGCCTCCACCACCATAGGGGCCAGAGCTTCTGCCTCCAAAATTTCCTCCTTTCATGGGTCCAAAATTTGAAGACTGATTGTTGTAATTGCCAAAATCATTATAGCTTCCACCACCTCCAAAGTTGCTTCCATCATTACCAAATCCGTTATAGCCATCCCCACTGCCACCATATCCACCACCACCTCGACTGCCACCAAAGCCACCACGCCCACTGAAGTTTCCTCCACGACCAAAGTTGTCATTCCCACCAAAACCACCTCCACGACCACCACCGAAGTTTCCAGAACCACTTCGACCTCTTTGGCTGGAGGAAGCACTAGCCATCTCTTGTTTAGACAGAGCCTTCCTTACTTCACAGTTGTGGCCGTTCACAGTATGGTATTTTTGAATAACAATCTTGTCTACAGAGTCATGGTCATCAAATGTTACAAAAGCAAAGCCTCTCTTTTTGCCACTGCCTCGGTCAGTCATGATTTCGATCACTTCAATTTTCCCATACTGTTCAAAATAATCTCTTAGATGATGTTCTTCAGTGTCTTCTTTAATGCCACCAACAAAAATCTTTTTCACAGTTAGGTGGGCACCAGGTCTTTGAGAATCTTCTCTCGAGACAGCCCTCTTTGGTTCTACAACTCTTCCATCCACCTTGTGTGGCCTTGCATTCATGGCCGCATCCACCTCCTCCACAGTGGCATAGGTGACAAACCCAAAGCCTCTGGAGCTCTTGGTGTTTGGATCTCTCATTACCACACAGTCCGTAAGCGTTCCCCATTGCTCAAAATGGCTCCTCAGACTCTCATCGGTTGTTTCAAAGCTCAAACCTCCGATGAAAAGCTTCCGCAGCTGTTCAGGCTCTTTGGGAGACTCTGACTTAGACATGACGGCGGTGGGAGGGGAGACTTTATCGATGCTTACTCGGCGGCGTCCATGGGCAGAAAGCGAGGCAAGTGTGATTTTAAAAAGGGCAGTTCCACTGGGGCACTGGGTGGGGTAGAGGTTGGTGTAAGGAAGTTAGGTAGTGAGTATTGGTGCTGTGCTGATTCCAGGTGGCTCTGTGCTTTTGCTGAGGGGTAGGGGAGGGAAATGGCACCTGCCAGTTCCTTGGTTCCTGGAGGGGTCTCTCTGTGAATGCTGCTTCTCGGGGACACACCCAGAGATGAGCAACTGATCTCCCCACTCTGTGCCCCAGGTGCTCTCACGATCACTGTTTCCATGTTGTATATCTGCAAGTTGTTTGCCCTGCCTTCTCTCCAAGAGCACTTCTGATGTCCTTTGAGCTTTCCCAGAGCCAAGAACACTGACCTTTAGAACTCCAGGCTTTAAGCCCCACTGGGTGCAAGAACTCATGAAATTTGGCCACTCCTGCTTTCTAAGCCAATTACTATGAGGATTCATTTTACCCCTGTGGGCTCCCTTGTTAGTCTGGCTCTCATCCTTCTCTACTACCGTGGCTCCCTTCTCACTGGCAATGATCTATTTCTCTCCCAGACTGTGTCTCTGCATTTCCTACTTTCTTTGATGTGGCCTCTTCTCTGCCTTTACTTGTGGAGTTTGTTCTGCCAGTCTTCAGGTCAATTTTTGGGGTATTTAGGATGATTTGATAGTTGTCTAATTGCATTTGTGAGACAAGGTGAGCCTAGCATCCTACTCCACTGCCATCTTCCCCTTCCTCCTATCCCATTGTCTTTCACTCGAGAACTGAGCTGCTGGCCTCACTGCTGACACTTTGAAGAAAATTGTCTTTTTCTCTGGAGGCTTTTAGATTTTTCTTATTGTCTGATTTTCTGTAGTTTTACGGATTTCTTTTTAACTTTCCTACTTGGAATTCATAGGTCATCTTGTACCTGTAAATTGATGTCTTTAATCAGTCCTGGGAAGGTCTCATTTTCTCTTTGATTATTACCTGTGCCATATTCTCTCTCTTCTTTTTCTGGTACTCCAGTTAAATATAGTTTAGATTTCCTCACTATCTCACTGCATCCTCACTGCCTCTTACCATTTTTTTGGAGTATTTTCCATTTTCTGTTACTTTATATTTGATTCTAGATATTTTACTAATTTCTCTTTAGTTGTATCTAATATTTTCTTGTTAAACCTACCAGTAAGTTATTTTCTGTTGTTTTATTTTTATGGTTCTAGCATTTTTTTTGGGTTCTTTTTCAGGTAGGTTTTGGGGAAAGCTATCTGGAATCAGGGCCTGGAATGTCTCTATCCTCTACTGGGGACCCTATCCCAATGCACTGCTATCTTCCCCACCACTAGGAGGGAGTTGAGAACAATGTTAACTATCCACCTGCAAAGATCACAACCAGGCCTAGGAGAAAAAAATCCACCAAAGAAATGCTGAGACCATGGAGAAATCAGTATATACCCTGCTACCTGAGGTTGGCAAATTCCCCCAGTGGAGAAAATAGAGATTGCCAGCTCATTCTGAAAGAGCTTTCTTCTCTCTGAAAATTTCCAAAGACTTTAAAATTACAAATTTTTTAAATTCCAGTTTTCTAGTTGCTGCAGCAGGAGTGGTGGCCTGTGCAAACTTCTAAATCCTATATAAAACAGAAGTCCTGTCATGCATTCTCTCTTGACATTTTCCTTTTTTAAAAAAATTGTTTTTATTTATTTGAGAGAGAGAACAGAGAAGGGGCAGAGAGAGATAGAGACACAGAATCTGAAGCAGGCTCCAAGCTCTGAGCTGTCAGCATAGAGCCTAATGTGGGGCTTGAACCCATGAACTATGAGATCATGATCTGAGCTGGACTCGGATGCTTAACCATCTGAGCCACCCAGGCACCCTGATATTTCCTTTTTATCTCTCATCTAGAGTTTTACTGGAGTGAACAATGCTACTTTCTGTTTCTCCTTATTTAGAAGTTTTATGTTTTATTTCTTGGCTTCTTTATAAATTTTAACAAATATTTTCATTTAGACATCAATAATTATATAACTTCCTATCTTCCAGGAAGACAAAGGGTTTATTTTGCTTTATTTCCTCATCCCCCCTTTGTAGCTTCTCAGCTCCTTAAATGGTATTCTGCCCTTTAATCTGGTGTCCTCCAGTGAATTCTCCACCTAGCAGCTGCAGGAACCTCTTCGAAGTGATCAACCTTCTCCAATTGAAAACCCTTCAGTAGCTTCCCATAACCCTTACAATAAAGTCCAGACTCTTAACATAGCATGTAAGGTGCGTTCTGGGCTCTGTCACCCTTTCTGGCCTCTGTCACCCTTCCTGGCTTCATCTAAAAAACAAAACAAAACAAAAAAAAACCAAAAAACACCTTTCTCTTAAGGGAAAGAAATTGAAATAAACTACAAAAATATCTGGGTCAAGTCAGCACAGTTATAACTGCTTGACTTGCCATGTCTTTTCATGCCTTTGTTCCTGTTTTGTTGCTGGCCATCACAGTCCAGGCAAGAGAGGGAATTATTGTATGGTGTATACCACTACATCCTCCATCTGCTTTTTCTCACCCCACTAAGTCCCTTGAGGGCAGGGACTGTGTCTTATTATACTGGTGTTCCCAGCGCTTCGCTGGAATGCAGTAGAGGATGAGTAAATCCTTGTGAGAGGAAGGGAGGGAAGGAAGGAGGGCGGGAGGGAGGAAAGAAGGAACAGAGGAACGGATGCAGAAATGAATGGAGGGATGAAGGAGAAAACTCTCCCCGACAGGTCTGGGCTTCCCAGGGCAGGAATGGGTGCGGTCCCGGAAACTCTCCGGGAGGCCACAACCTGGAGGTGCCTCTGCATGGCTGCTCAGAAAGTAGGAAAAGGACTTAAAGACAAGGTAGCTGTGTCAGAGACAGTGTGATTACAAAAAGCAGAATCCCCAAGCTAAAAAAAGGGAGGAAGGAGCCTAGGTAGGTTAGAAAACACTGGTCTGTTACAGAAGCCATGTCAGTGTTTCAGTCTGTTTGGCTGCTATAACAGAATACCAGAGGTTGGGGGGCTTATAAACAACAGAAATTTATTTCTCACAGTTGTGGAGGCTGAGAAGTCCAAGATCAAGGTAGTGGCAGATTTGGTATCTGGTGAGGACCCACTTTCTGGTTCTTAGATGGCACCTTCTTGCTGTGTTCACATGTTGGGAGGGGTGAGGGAGCTTTCTAGGGTCTCTTTGATAGGGGCACTGATCTTATTCATGAGGGCTCTGTCCTCATGACCTAATCACCTCCCCCAAACCCCACATCCTAGTACCATCACATTGGGGTTTAGGTGTCAAGATATGAATTATGGGGGGACACAGACATTCAGACCATAGCAGTCAGGAGGACAGCTAGGCTGCTTAAGGGGCCAGAAGCCATGTCCTTTCCTCTTTGGGACTATGTGGCTTTCACCAGAGCTTCTTTGTGAACCTGCTTCCTTTCTTTCTCTGCACACTGGCTTTCTTTGCTTTCTTATGCATGTGCTGGAAAATGGATGCCCAAGGCCTGCCTGAGTTTCTGGTTTGAGCAGTGCAAGACTGCTTGGAAGTGCCCTGTCCCACTTACAACTCTAGGGGTTGATGCTCTGGACCAGGTACCTCAGCCGCAGCTAGAGAAGGGTCACATGACTCACTGCATACCTAATGGTTGTGCCAGCAGAGGTGTGGGTGGGGCTGACTGATACATGGACAGCCACCAGGTGATGTCGACTCAGTCCTTCCTTTTCATGAAGTAGGAGTTTGCTAACTTAATTTTCAGATGATTATTGAGTAATTCAATTCTGTTTGTATAGAGTTAAGATACATTTTTCTGTTTTTCTTTGCAGTCCTGAGAAACTTATCTGTTCAGAAAATAAATATCTGATGAAGAGAATAAGACTACTGACCTAAGTCAGACCGTTTTTGAAAGGCAGTTTCATTCCTCAAAGCTCAGCCAGGAGAACGGTAGGGATGAGAGGCATTGTGTGCTGAGCAGAGGAGATCTGGTGGGTAGCAGGGCTGGGGCGGCACAAGTTGCAATGTGCACATGATGACAGGCGTTGATTCTGGAATCTGAGCCATTGACACATCCTTCTTTATCACACAGGTTCCCCAGGGCACAGAGGCGGGAGGCGAAGAAGGGAGTGGAAAAGAGGTTGCCGAAGAATGTGATTTACTCCATGCACAGGAAATGGTGGGGTTGCCTCTTGGCTCAGTGCTGCTGCACCCCGTGGCGGGGAGCCTGGGGTTGGGAAACTCAGAAAAGGACCCTGGACGCTGCTTTGGAGGATAGATTGTATCATCCTCACGAGGTGAGAGAAATCCTGGTCGTAGGATTCTGCCCTCTAAGATTTCCTCAGGTTTTCCTGGAGTTTTTGCTCCTCTGCCATTTCCCTACCATTTATACATCCACACCAGACCAAAACAAAACCTGTTCGCCTTATGCAGCCACAATAGGTGGGAATCTTCTGAAATGAAATTTATATTAAAAGGAAAATTAGGCCAAATGATGGTTTTGATATATAAAAGTTAATTATTTATTAATCATAAAAGTTGTTTTATATGCAAGCATTTTCCATGCACAGATTTCTTACCCAGAGCTCATCATCTGATTGGACACATGTATAGCTTTTGCTTGCTCTTCCCTTCCATCCTCTCCTCTCCCACGTCCCATATCCTAAAGCTTTCAGGTGCTTGGGAGTTGTAAGGGCTCGCGGGTGTCTGGAGCGCAGAGCATCTCTGTGTTCACCGGCCACCCCACTCTTGCCTCCACTGCACAGAGCATGAAAATCTTTTCAGATAGTTTGTTAATCCAGGTCCCAACCAATCCCATTGTTTTTCCCCAGTCTCTCAGAGAGAAATGCATTCTCCTGAATGGAAGAATGGAAGTTTCTTTCTTTCTGGATGGGACTGTAGTCAGCTCTGCCCTTCTGGAAGGGTAGCCTCACTGCTGTCACAAGAGAGCCAAACAATGGAGTCAGGTTTACATACAACAGAAGTTTCTCGCTCATGTACCAGAACAGGGAGGGTCAGCAGGGTGGCAGGCTGTCCCTCTTTCATGGGTTTGGCTCATGGAACCTTTGTCATCTTCAGTGCCTGGCTTCCAAGTTTGCCTTGAGGAACCTGCAAAGGGAAGAGGTCATGGAGGAGTTCTCTCTGGGCGTGTAAGTGGGCCAGGTCTCACATGTTCCACCGGGGAGGACATGGCTGTCCCTAACTGCAGGGGGGAGGGTGCTAGGAGCAGCAGCCTCTGTTGCTCTGAGCACAGTGGCAGGGAGAGCAGGTGCTCTGTGGACAGCTAGTCACCTCCGCCCTACCATAGAGAGGTCAGTACCGTGTGGAGACCAAAGACCTGGGAAACCTTGGCTGAGAGTTGCAGAAACGAAAAAGTAGGGGAGAGGTGAGGAGAGGGCTGCCTGGAAGGTCTGAGCTAAGGCAGGAGGGGTGGAGTGTCAGGTGGGATCCACCGGGCTGTCCTCTCTGCCCATCAGCCCCTCTTCCCTGCCCTGCACTCGGTGCTTCCCTTCTGTTCACAGGTTCAAGGGGCCAGACAGCACAGGCCACGATCCTGGGTGGCTGGGGAAGGCCAGCACAGGTGGGGGTCCCAGCCCATGGAAAGCAGAGTGATGACAGCAAATGTCCTGGGGCAGCACCCAGCCTCCCTGCAGCTGGGGTTTGGGCTTGGCTGCTGGAAACTGTGCCATCTGTAAGGAGGCCATGGCAGTAAAGCTTTACTGAGCTTTACTTTCTCATATCCTGCAACAGTTAAAATGCTGGCGACATGTTTTCTCTCTCCAGAATTGTAAGATGTTGCAAGAAATAACCAAATAATAATAGTTACTGTTTATTGAGCTCCTGTTGTGAACTAGGAACTATGTGAGATATTTTTTATTAAATGTTTTTTAAGTTTATTTATTTTGAGAGAGAGAGTGCTAGCGGAGGAGGGGCTGAGAGAGGGATGGAGAGAGAATCCTAAGCAGGCTCTGTGCTGTCAGCAAAGAGCCTGATTCGGGGCTTGTACTCACACACTGTGAGAAGACGACATGAGCTGAAATCAAGAGTTGGATGCTTAACTGACTGAGCCACCTAGGAGCCCTGGAACTGCACGAGGTATTTTATATTCATGTAAAAGTTTTCACAGCAAGATAATAGTATTATCTCCCCTAACATGAAGCCTGGAGAGGGGTTGAGTAACTTGTTCAATGTCAGCTGCACAGTTGAAAGTTGTGGTGGTCTTGTTCTTAGTCTAGACTATCTGGTGCCAAAGCACAGATATCTGATCACCAGAGCACACTCCTTCCCCACCCCACTCAGACTCGGTCACATCAGTCAGATTGCTCAGGATTTGGGTCCCTTTCAGAGAGTGGTTATCCTGCTGGTGTGCCACTGAATCCTGATCCAGAAGAGCACTGGGGGTTTGAGGGGTTGGTGGTGGCTTGCTGGGCATCCCTCATGTCTGCTCAGTCCTTCCCCAGGGGATGCAAGGAGTCTAAGGGCACACCTTCCTCCCTCATCCTTCAGAAAATTAGGCTCACATTTCAGTCAGGAGAGAACTTCATTTTTGAAGGGGCAGAGCTGTGGTCCAAGGTCAAAGTGGGTGACGAGTTGCGGGGAGCACTGACATTGAATGTCCTCTGAAGTTTTGTAGAAGTCTGACTCACATCCTGCAGGCTCCTCTGTCCTAAATCTGAAACGAATCCTGACAGATGTACGCATGGAGAAATGGCAGTAGCCACAGTTCATCCCAGGGAGAATTCAGGTCCCTGCTGTCCTGGGAAAAGGAATATTCTATAGCTTGGGTCACAAGTAAGCCCACAACTGGTTTTAAACTGGCCTTGACCCATCAGAGACTATCTTAGGCTTTGGAACTCAGTCAGTCAGAGGCAGATTTGTTGGACATTGACTCATACTTGCCTTCTAGACCCTATAGAAGATTGGCAATTTGCTCAGTGAGGCTTGTGCCTGACCAGCCAAAATTTCCCTTAACTAATATATTCAGTTGTTTTGGTTTCAGATGTTGAGTGGGCCATATTTTATAACTACATTTTAACAAACAAGTATTCAGGATTAGTAAACAGAATGACAGATATTTTTTTTACTTGATTATTCTGAGTTATGTTTTCCATCCCTTCTTTGCCCAGTGATTATGTTTAGACAGAAACAGGTGGAGGGACATTTGGATCTTTCCTGTTCTTCCAGCTCCCTGAGACGTGCTCCGTGAGAATCAAGGCTCCTACAGCCTGCGTGGTTCCTTCTAAAAACAGATCTTTTTCCAGGTGCACTCATTAACCCAGGGATTTAGTGGGTAAGACCTGATTTTTATCAGTGTTCAAAACAAATCTCACGCCACAAAATCCAGAGCCCAAACCAGCAGTTCTGATAGGTGTGGATGCAGGTCTGACAGGACAGGGGCCAGGGAGAGACAGCTGCTTCTGGAGTTGGAGGCCGAAGGCCTGCTGGAGATGCTTAATGCCTGTGTATTTTCTTGACTCCGAAGTTACCTCTGAGGTTCCTGCTCAACCAGGTAGGCAGAAAGGACTCAAAAGGATGTGGTGTCACTCCCATAGAGCTCAGCAGTATAGCCATCAACGACACCACGCCCCAGAGACCGTGGGTCAATTTACCAGAGTCATGGAGCAAGTGCCGAGGCTCCCGGGTCTCCTAGGCAACCCCCACTCCGCACTCTGTCCTTGGTTTTTGCCACTGTCGCAGAAAGGAAATTTGGTTTCATTACGAGCAACCCTTGAACTTACCTTCCAAGAGCCTTTCAGGTTGAAAGTAAATCAGTCAAGCTTTAAAAGAAGTTACATTCATAAACTTATATTTTTTATTCTCTTTCTGTACATATTGGCAATGATAAAGCTTAAAGATGCATGTCCTATGAAATATGCAAAAACAAGGGATTTACATAAATAATTTATACTTCAGAAAATTAAAGTTGAAAAATATTTTCCACCTCATTAGAGTTCACAGTATTTAAAGTAAATCAAGCTTTCCCCTTTAGATTTCAAACTATATTGTCTCAGCAGAGATGATAAAATCTAATCAGGAATAAAACGATCAAGTTTCTGTTTTCATTCAGTGCACGTGTAGACCTACTTCAGTATCAGGCTGTTCCCGCACTGAGGCTGCAGCGTTTTCTTCCCGATCCTTCACCTCCTGAGTGGCTGTGACCCCGCAGAGGTCACACGGCATGGAATGGTTACAGCATCACCAAAACCACCCACACTGGACACATTCAACCTAGTGGTAATGTCTGCTGTTCTGATGCCTCATTTCCACATAATACTTGTTTTAGCCCTGAAAATGGAAACCTTGGCATCTAAACACAGCCAAACATGTTAACACTAATACAAGGCACTGTGCTGTGGGTTTGGTTTATTTCTAGGAAAGATCATGTTTGCATAGATTGCTAGCAATTTAGTGTGCAATAAAATAGAGGGCCGGGCCTGGCACGCGTGGCCTGTGATGGATGAAGCTGTGTGATGCTCCTTTAGCCCAGAGGCAGCACCGTCCGTCTCTAGCCCCAGCCTTTTGGGCAGATCCCTGAGGCCCCTACAGGAGAGTTTTTTGCTCAAAAAGCTGCAGGTCAAAGCGGACCCAGACTTCCCCGGTGGGGACCTCGTGCAGCAGCAGCCGGCGGGTTGTGGGGCCTTTGCTTTCCTGTTCTGTGCGAATTTTTGCCACTGGAACTTCAGTGCGACCCAGGAAATCTGGAGAATAGACATGTGAGAGTCAAAGCTACTTCTTTATAAGAAGGAGTGTCTGAAAACATTAGACTTTCAAATCCAGAACAGTTAACTTCTTTTGGTTAGTAGCTGTCTGATAACTGCATGGATGCACGCCCAGCGAGAGAGGTCCATGGGAGGGAACCTGCCTTCCTGGAATCCAAGTTCCTTCAGTCAAAACACGTCTCACCTATTCAGTAGGTTCTGGGAGCAGTGTTTCTGTTGTGTATGTAGCGAGTGACTGGTGTCCGTGACTGACACAGGCCACAGACCACCCTTTCCCCTGAGAAGACCCCTGACCCACTTCCCACATGAATTGAAGGTGCCTATGGTGTCATTTTCCTTAGGTATCACAGGGAAAAATAAAGCTGAGTACCCTGGATCTAGACCCCAAATTCTAGAGTATTCAGATTCCCTGGTTGAGTTATACTTTACCATCTGGTGAGAACTGATCTCTGTCAAACATGGTGAGACACAGCACATCCTGGTAAAGGTCCTTAATAAAGAACTGGCAGTTAAAATTCCACTTGGGATTGAGTGTGTCCTGGAGGGTTCTGGTGGTATAGCTCTGGGAGCCCATGCTGATTTCACAATATGGATTGCTCTTTCCTGAACAAAAACAAACCAAAGACACATGTGGCATGTGTACATAAAATAAATGACAAAAGGACCTTGTCATGAGCAGAAGCAGGATCCAAATGGATGCTTCTCTGTAAACCATGACAGCAGGGGCACTGATTGAGGGCCCAGAACTGCCTTGTGGTCTCCATATCCCCAGTGCTGATAGCTTCATTAACTTGGGGGCACCCATGTTGCTCCAGCGCCCCCAATGCTCCCCACGAGCCTGGACATGTGTCCGTGCGATTTCTACTCAGAAGCACTGAGGGAAGAGTCACTGGTACTTATTAGGAAGACATAATGAGGATAATATTGGTCCAATAACCATTTTAGTGGCACTGGAAACACTGATTTTTTAAGTGTCCCATTATTCAATGTTTACAAGAGTCATCAGCAAAGAATAGGGCATTTACCACATATGTTGAATGAAAGAAGCATTTACCATTCGGTTTACAGGCTTTTAATTCTGTAGCTTCGATGACATGCACCATCAGACGCCCGATGCCTGAAGTCTTTTGAGAGCGAGCTACAAAAGAGGAAGACAAGTGATGTCAATTTCTTCTCTGAGAATGCAGGTAGTGCACAGAGGATACTGAACTGTGGGTACAGTCTGTTCTTCTAACCAATCCTGACACTCCCCAGTGTCACCGGCCACTGCACTGGGCCTGGCAGACCAGCATCTGGCTGCTGTGTGGCTTTGCCCAGGGCGTGTCACCCAATGGAGTACCTGTCCACCATCTCTGCTTGTCTTCATTCCACCCAGCCCTGAAGATGCACGTCCAATCTCACATGTCCCTCCCCCCTCCCTGCCCCACTCTGCACATCCATTAACCTCAGCGCAGGAGCATCCTGCAGCCTGCTGGTTCTGAAATTCCATGCCCTATCCGTCTCCTCTGTCAGGAGAGGCTGCTGCAGAGTGTGTATTGTTTATTCAGCCTTGCATTAATAAACACTCAATTGGCTAGCAAATGGTAATATTAATAAAATAATACATTATATCCATTCAGCACTTAAAAGCAGCTAACATTTATTGGATACTTACTTTGTGTTAGGCACATGTGCTAGACCGCTACAAAAGTTTTATTCTGTAAATTGTACAATTATGCTACATGGTAGCTCTTTATAACTACCATCTGTACATATGGGAGAATTTAGGCTTAGAAAAGACCGTAACCTGCCCATGTCACACAGCCTATGAGTGGCAAGGTAAAAAATTAACCAGCAGGTACCAAAAGTCGATTTGCCACCCATCATCATTCCAATTACATGTAAACACTTCAGCTTATAAAGCAGTTTCACTTAAGACCTTATTCTATTTGGGGATGTACTCAAAACCCTTTTCATATGGAGGAAAATGGGTCTGTGAACTCAGATTGGTAAATATGAAGTTAGTTAAGCAGGTGTTGCCCTCATGGGTTTAAAAAGGCTGCTTGGTGAGCTATTGATTTTTTAAAACTTAGGGCAAGTAGAACTTAGGAGAAACCCCCCTCACCCTTCCCCTTGTTTGTGCCAACTCTTCAGTGTGGCACCTATACTCAGTTCCTCTTAAAGACAAATAAGTTCCCCTTATGTATCTTGGAAGGCCTGGTTAAGACTAGCACAGGGCTTGGGCACAGAGTAAGTAATCAATAAATGTCTAAAGAATTGAACATATAGAAAATGCATAACAATATGTATAGATACTGATGTTAAGCAAAACTAACAAAAACTCTTGATTTTTATCTTTACCAATTAAGAGATCACTATATGCTTTCCAAATCATTCAGTCATTGATTTTTTAATAGCAAGCTTTTGAAGTACCATTAAAATAAGATTCAATCAGCAAAAGCTAATTGACACATACCTTTCAGGAGTCTATAACAAAATAAGGGAAACCTGAATAAAAAAACATAAAGAGCTGCAGCTCTAGCAGCCAGAAAGGAGGGAGGACTGGACAGGGAAGGCCTGGGTGGGGGGCATGGGAGGGGGGCTGAGAGGTGGTTTGTTCAATCAGGCAGTGGTACAGGCAGGCGAGGCAGAGGGAGGAAACGGGGCTGGGGAACAGGTGACACTGGGGATGGGCCCTGGGTCCGGGGTGAGGATTTGTCCTTGATTTGGGAGGCAATGGGGAAGACGCTTCAGCAGGGAGGGTCAGCCCTGTAGAAAGAATACTTTGGAAATGAAGGTGACGGGGGCCTCGTGCCTGAGTGGAGACTGGAGGGTAGGTCTGTGCCACTGGGAAAGGCCCAAGACACGGGAAGAGAATGGGGTGGGACTTGGCCTCTGACTAGAGAAGCAGGAGAGCTGAGGGCGCGCTTCCAGCCTGGGTGGCAAGGGCAGTGCTGCCGTCTGCAGAGCTGCTCAGGTGATGCCGTGGTGTGAGGCCCGGCGGGCCGAAGTTGAAGTGTGTCTGGAGCATGGGCTCGGGGAAGCAGCCCAGCACGATTTTCATGAAACTGATGGGGAAGGGGGACAGAGAGGCTTGGGCAATGGTGAGCTTCAGGAACAAGGGGGAGGAGGAGCCTGGACTTCCTGCCATTGGGTGCAGGGGGCAAAGTGAGTCAAGCAGTGGGTCAGGTCATTGGTGCCGAGTGAGAGAGCCCTCTGCACGGAATGAGGATGGGGGTGGCGGTGAAGGGCTGGTGATGAGGAGGAGGGCATTGAGGTCCGGGACCTGGCATCGAGGGAGGGGGGACGGTGGATGAGGAGGAGGGCTGGGGCAGAGGCCGGGGTGGGAGGGGAGGAGCAGAGCTGATGGGAAACAGGCCAGAGAAGGGAAGTTGGATGAAGCAAAATGGACCAAGCAGAAGTGGGCTTGGTTGTGGAAAGGACCCTCTTCCTTCACCACAGGCAGAAGGGAGGTTCCGGGGCTGGCCTGGGTGACCCTGTCTTTGTAGTGGGCAGGGGACTCGGGGAGGCCCCAAGGACAGGAGCTGCCAAGCAGGTCCTGCTAGTTCCTGCTGTCTGATCCCACAGCAAGTCTGCTCCTCTAGGCTGTTCCCTGTGCAGCTCCGCCCTGCAGGAGCAGCAGCTTGCGTCCTGAGGGTGGAACCCACCTCCCTCCCCCCTCCCCCCTCTCCCCTCTGGACCCCAGGAGGCTGCTTCCAACTTGCCAGGGCACCACCAACTACCTTGATAAGCCTTCTCCCGTTTCTTCTTTTCTGTGTCGATGTACTGCTCAGAGGCCGCCTTGATCTTCTGGACCCAGGCAGTCCTGGAGGAGAAGCAGAGCACAGCCATGGGGTGGCTTTTTGGCGTACCTCCCAGGTTCAGCCAGGAGCCCCAGGGCTCTGCACTTGTTCTTCACTCCATTGCTAACCTTGGCTTTGACAAGTTTCCCATCATAGACCTAATCTTAGTTCAGCTGAAAGTCTTGTTTGATAACTGACTTTCAAGCTGAGAATTTCTAGACAGTTACTGCTTATAAGACACCAGGCACTTGCAAGGTGCAGGCATGCAGAAACAGAAGATGCCTCATCAGTGGCAATCTGGCATGACCGAGCGACATTCTACCATACAAAGAACACCAAGAACCACGTGCACAGAGGGGAGGAGCACCCCCTGGTGTGTCATCACACACGTGCTGAGCTGCCCCATGGAGGACGCAGGGCTGGCCAGGCAGAGCAGGAGGAAGGCATTCTGGCTGGAGGGCAGGGCCTGTGCGGTGGAGGGCAGGACAGGCTGCGACGAGAGTGCCTCAGAAACCAGGCGAAGGAGCCCGGACTGCTGCACGAGGGATTTTAGGAAGCAAGGTGCTGGACCTGCCATTTTTGGAAGATCCTGAGGAGAGACTGGAAGCAGGGACACACGTAGAGGCGGCTGCAGTAACCAGCATGTCTAAGCCAAGGCTGACCAGCGGGACCAGGGTGGAGGGCGCTGGTTAGCAGAGCTTGAGGATACGGAATTAGTAGCACTGAGCACGGACTGGAGGTGGGTTTATGGAAGGGAGCTGTCCAAGCTGCAAGGCAGGTCACACGTGGTCAGGACTGACCTCTCATTAATGTTGTCTGTTCGGAGGGTGTAGACCCTGTCGATGTGAGAAATGTGGAAGACAGGCTCATCGCTGGAAGGGTCTGTGGGCAGTTTCACCAGGACTTCATTCAGGAAAATGGGCTGAAAGAGTTAGGGCCAAAACAGACTGTGAAATAGGCCAGAGTCCTCCACCCGCCTACATCTAGGGAGAGTTCTATCTGTCCTGAAGAGCTTTGTTGAGGAGGAGAGAAGGGTCTAGTGTCTTTTACTTAGGGAAAAAGAGCCTGTGTTCATTTTGTGGAAGAAAACTTCTTGGGCAGATGATATGTTACTGAACTGGGGACAGGAGCTCCGAGTGTCTATGACTGCTCATGTGACAGGGTCTCTCCTCTGTGTACCTATACTTAGCACTTTGCCTCGGTTTTACAGAGAGACCTGATGCTGAATGTGGACAGAGGCGGGATTGTGTCACATGTGCCAGCAAGGAAGCCGGAATCCAAAGCTGGAATCCAGCTGTCAGTCCAGCTGTCAGAGGACAGGGAGGCCCCAGCCACACCGGGGCTGCTTCCCTGGGAAATGACAAAGGAGGAGTGACCCATCTGGAGACAGGTGAAGAGTGTCCCATGAAGACAGGAAAGGCTCAGGCCAGGAAGGAGGTCCTCCAGGTGAAGGAATCACCTCGTTATGGTCCTGATGCCACGGCCAGGAATGTGACACTTACCGTTTTATACATTTTGAATTGGGCATTGGACTTAGAGCTGAATAGCTTCTCAGAGCCTGAGGAAACGGCAAACTGCTTGACCATGTAGGTAAGAAGCAGAAAGTCATTGAAGAGGAATCCGTGTAGTTCCTTGTTGCTCTTGGTCTTGTATAGTTTTCCACTGTGCAGAAGCTTCCGGGGCCCCAAGCAGTTGGTGAGGGAGTTGAATATAAGTTGCTTAAAGAGAAATTGTCACTGTGAATCCCAGCACAAACCATCCCAGAGCCCCGTGAGAAGCCTGTGTCCTGGATCTAAGGGTGTACTGATTTGCCTTCAGAGTCCAAACTGACATGGGGGATTCTATTGACTGAGTTCAAAGAACTCAAAACAAAGATATCAAATTTCTCCTAAGAAAGAACAATGACAGCCCAAGAAGGGGCAGGACAGGGAGTCCATGTGGGCTGGGTTGAGGCATATCCTGTCCATACTAGGTGAAGGCCTGAACCCGGTTCCCTACCCAGAGCCTGCCTAGTGGCACCCACCTCAACACCACAGGCCTCACCTCTGCAAGACCTTCACACTGAACGTGTGCCTGGATCCACTCTAGTCTGTCTGAATTTTCTTTTTCCCGAACTCCTTCATTAACTTGGGAACAAAGCTCCTCTGCCCGCTCCAGAGCCAGCTTTAGGGAGGAATGGTCCACGTGATTCTCCAGGGTGTTCTCCAGAATCTGGAAAAGAGCGGGCTGCTTCATGTGGGAAGTGGAGTGTCTTCTACCCACAAGTCCTACCGCCTGCGGTACGTGCTGGGCGCTGGGTATACAATGAGTAAGACGATTGTTTGCCCTAAGGAAGCACGTAGCCCCAGAGTTCTTGGGGAGCCTGGTAACTCAGTTACAAGAGGGTGTGCCAACTGCTACACGGATCAAGTGCCCTGAAACCTGTGGGTGTCCAGCGACTCTCTGGTTTGGTCTTGGTACAAACGTTACCACACATGGCTCCCTTCCTCCCCCCCAGTACTTTAAGCCATGGCCTTTAGGGTGAACCCACCAGTATAACCTGGCTGCAGCTTTCGTAAGAGTGTTAACTTACTGAATAGCAATGGCTTATAAGATTTTTGGGGTCACTGATCTTTTTTATAAATCTGAAAAAAGCAGTGAATTCTCTGCTACCGGAAAGATACAATAAAATCATGTCATCAGCTTGTAGAAAAACATACTCAGTTCATTCTAAAGTGACTTCAAACCACTGTAACAAGTGTAAAAGAATAGAAGCTGGCATACAACCGTGTGGTCTCATCAGCAGATGGCTTGTGTCTTGACTCTGGCCACCCAGGGCCACCGTCCTTTGTTTACAATTACAAAATGGGATAAAGCTCTGAAAGCCTAAAGCTTTTCTTCAATATTCATTTGGCAGCAAAACCTGACCTAAACTGAAGAGACAGATCTGTTTATTCCACTTAAAGGTGATTATTCATGGATTTCACTGTAGGAACATTACTGTGTTTGGCTAGAGGCGATGCCCAGGGTTTGCTGGGGTGTCATGTAATATGCCTTTTTTTTTTTTTTTTTTATTTCTGAGAAAGAGACAGCGCGAGCAGGGGAGGGTCAGAGAGAGAGGGAGACACAGAATCTGAAGCAGGCTCCAGGCTCCGAGCCAGCTGTCAGCACAGAGCCCAATGCGGGGCTCAAACCCACAAACCGTGAGATCATGACCTGAGCTGAAGTTGGACGCTTAACCGACTGAGCCACCCAGGCGCCCCTGTAATATGCCATTTTTGAATTACATTCTGAATTCTGAAAAATACATCTGCTTCAAAATATTCGAGTTTTAAATATTTAGGTTATTGTGTATTAACGGGTTAGTTTGGTATAATAACTGAAACATAAGCTCTGTAGCATAAGGTCCGTAAGGAGTTAATATGGCTTAGGGACCAATGGTCAAGAGATAATCAATATAAGTAACAGTCTTATATTATTTCTACTGTTTTCCTTTGTAAGACCATTAAAATTGTATCAGTGATAATTTGTGGAAAAATCCTTTGTAAGTATGGCTTCTCCTTTGAAAGCATATTGGCTCAAGAGGCCCACATTGCTTATGCTAAAAGATGGATAGTATCTTGGGACTGTTTAGTTAGCAAGCTGAACTGGGGAAGGGCAAGGGGATGGCGATGAGCTCAGGGTAGGACACATTGAGACATCTAAGGAAAGGTGTTTCGCTGGTGGATGGGTTTAGATCTCAGCAGAAAGACTGAAGCCCAAGGTTGTGCCAATAGTGGACTCTGTCTGGGCTCACGACGGGCTCCACAGCTGCAGACCTGGAGGGCACTTGCTCTGCCTGGAAAACCACATTCGTGACTTTGAGAGACCCAGAGGAGTTTTCCTGGGGAGGGAGAGGACAGGTTACCTAAGTGACACTGGATGGCTCTTCCTTGCCTGATCCAGACTGTATGTGTGTGTTTGTGTGTGTGTACAGGTGCACGCGCACGGTGTCTGGTCCATGAGACCATGTGGCAGGACTGGCTCCCTGACTATGGCCTCTGTGGACCCCGAGGGGCCCGGCTCCTCCGTCCCAGCCAGGGCACTCACACTTCTGATGAGCAGAGGGTAGCGGGTGATCCTCTGCATGGGCTTCAACAGGAAGCTGGAAAGGGGCATTCCTTTACATCGAGGGTCAGAGGCCAGCTTCTGCAAATAACGGAGAGGCTCATGAGGAAATCAGAGCTTCAACGAGAACAAAGGAAACACCAATCACGCTCCTGAATTTGACTGCCTTTTTGATTTCAAATTTCTTTTAGAAACTCAGGATTCAAAATGATATATATCAGATTAATAGCAGGAGTATGTCCCTTCATTTGGTGAACCCAGAGGATGCTTTTCACCTCGCTCTTTCTTTCTTACATGGATTTGGCAGCCTAGGCCATCACTTCCTCCTTTGTTCCAGAACCACTGACGGCTGTCTTCCCAGCCCACTCCTTCCCAATCCTCACTTCCTCTTTCTCCTCTACCTGCTTTTAACTGTAGGTGCTGCCCAAAGACCCCCAGCAGTTGAGTCCCAGAAAGCCACCCGGACCTTCTCTAGAGCTCCATACTGGCCAAGTTACTCTCCTTCCTACCTGGGTCTCCTAACAGGCACCTCAATACCTCAGTACACCCCAAAGTCCTCATTTTCCTTCATGAAAGCCTCTCTTCCACCTCCATCCCTGTGTTGGTAGCACCATTCTGCACCCCTCTCCCACTCCTAGGAGTCACCTTCAACTCTGTCTTTTAAACAGCTTGTGATTTCCCCCGCTTCTGCCTGCCTGCTATCCCTGCTTTATTAGAAATAATCACTACCATTTATTGAGCACCTATATGTGCCAGGTAATGAATGCATTAGCCTTTGCTAAATCCCTTCTGCTCTTTCTTCACTTGGCTAATTCATACTCATTTCTGTAGACTCAGACTATGCCTCCTCGTGGCCAGGCCTCCCCCTTCCTTGATGCTTTCGTGTTCAGTGACCTTTCTTGAGCCCCTACAAATCACCCGTGGCCACCTTTATCATGACACCACATCTGGACTGGGGAAGACAGGCAGAGGTACCAGGTTTGAGGCATCTCCATGACCTTGCAGGCTGTTATTTCCAGGGAACTAAGGACCACATCTTATTTGCTTTTACTCCTATTATTAGCATAATACTTGAACAGAGTAGCTAGTACTCTTGGATGACTTTTTTTTTTTATGACCATTTTTAATGGCTGAAAAGCAAATTTACTATAATTTACCTATTCATTTCCCACTATGAGATATTAAAACCGTCCCCTTTTGTTTTTGCATAGATCTATATATGTTGCTATAGCAAGCATCTTCATGCTTTTTATTTCTGTTATTTTCTGAGACTTTTTAAAAAGTAACATTTAGAACACAGCTTATTGCTAGGTTCTGTTCTTTTTTTAATAATTATTTTTGAGACAGAGAGAGAGAGAGCAAGCAGAGGAGAGGCAGAGAGGGAGGGAGACACAGAATCTGAAGAAGGCTCCAGGCTCTGAGCTGTCAGCACAGAGCCCAACACGGGGCTGAACTCACGAGCTGTGAGATCATGACCTGAGCTAAAGTCGGATGCTCAACTGACTGAGCCACCCAGGTGCCCCTAGATTTTGTTCTTAATGTAATCAACACAATGCCTTTCATTATGAAACTATAAATTTTTTATTTATCCTTATTATAGTTGTGATAGCACTGATAACCCTATTTACACTGCTATTGTTATTACGATTTTGAAAATTAAAAAAATGTACTTAGAAGGTAAGAGTCCAATTTATTTTTAAAAATTTTATTTTTGGGGCACCTGGGTGGCTCAGTCCATTAAGTGGCCAACTTCAGCTCAGGTCATGATCTCGTGGTCCCTGGGTTCAGGCCCGCATCAGACTCTGTGCTGATAGCTCGGAGCCTGGAGCCTGCTTCATATTCTGTGTCTCTCTCTCTCTGCCCCTCCCTGACTCATGCCCTCTTTCTCTCCCCCTCTCTCTCAAAAATAAACATTAAAAAAATTTTTTTTTAAGATTTTATTTTTAAGTAACCTCTATACCCAATGTGTGGCCTGAATCCACAACTCTAAGAGTTACATGTTCCACTGAATGAGCCAGCCAGGCTCCCCTACAGACCCTATTTTTAGTTCTACTATTATTTTATTTTCTATTTATTTATTCATTTATTTTTATTTGAGAGAGAGAGAGGGAGAGAAAGAGAGAGTACACAAGCAGGGGAGAGTGGCAGAGGGGGAGAGAGAGAATCCAAGGCAGAGCCTCCCTGATGTAGGGCTCGATCCCACGACCCTGTATCATGACGTGAGCTGAAATCAAGAGTTGGATGCTCAACCAACTGAGCCACTCAGGCACCCCTCTACTATTATTTTAAAACATTTGCATGCACTCACAATCCCACATTTATCTTATTCTGACCAGTATTTGTGTCTGTGATTTTGGTGCCCTTGTATGATTCCTCTAGTTCATTTTTTTAAAAAATGTTTATTTTGAGAGAGAGAGAACACGTGTGTGTAAGAGGGGAAGGGGCAACAAGAGAGGGAGGGAAAGAATCCCAAGCAGACTGCACACTGTCAGTGCAGAACTCAACGTGGGGCTCGAGCTCATGAACTGTGAGATCATGACCTGAGCCGAAATCAAGAGTCAGATGCTTAACTGACTGAGCCACCCAGGTGCCCCTCTTCTAGTTCACTTCTAAGCAACCCTGTGCCTCCCACCCTTATCACCAATTGAAAAATCAGTCCTCAGTGCCTTACTTATACTGAATCATTTTTGCCTCCCTAAGATCACCATAAGGAAGGTAAATATAATTATCATTTATTGAATGCTTATTATGTGGTCCTTAAATTCTTTTAAAAAATGTTTTAATTGATTTTTGAGAGAGACAGAGAGCCTGCACAAGAGAGGGAGGGGCAGAGCGAAAGGGGGACAGAAAAATCCAAAGCAGGCTCTGTGATGACAGGAATGAGACTGATTGGGGGCTCGAACTCATGAACCATGAGGTCACGACCTGAGCCAAAACCAAGAGTTGGATGCTTAGTCAACTGAGCCACCTAGGCGCCCCTCATTTTTATAAAAAAAATTTTTTTTTAAATATTTTTATTTCTAGGAGAGAGAGACAGCGTGAGCAGGGGAGGGTCAGAGAGAGAGGGAGATACAGACTCTGAAATAGGCTCCCGGCTCTGAGCTGGCAGTCAGCAGAGAGCCCAATGTGGGGCTCGAACCCACGAACCACGAGATCATGACCTAAGCGAAAGTCGGACGCTTAACCGACTAAGCCACCCAGGCGCCCCTTATTTTTATAATTAAATACAAATACGAAAACAGGGTTCTTGGGTTCAGGAACACTTTTGTTTAAACAATGAATTAAATGGGTTTCTGATTTATTTTCTATGATCTATAATAGCTTGTACAGAATGGAATTATCCATTTATGGTTAGACAGAATTCACCATTAAGTCCATCAGATGAACCTAGGTCCTCTTTTGGGGTAAGTTACAGTTTTATCCTTGGCTAATAATATCTTCAGAGTTTCCATTCTTACTGAAGCAGTTTTCAAATTGTAATAGAAAACTACAAATTTTATTAACGGTTTGACACTTATTAGCATATGCTAATATCTTTGACTTATATACTCTTTTACTTTAAGAAATATTTCCATGTCTGTTCTTTTTACTTGTGTTCTCTATTAGATTTACCAGAGTTACATTTTATTAGTTCTTTTCAATGTATCTGTTCTTAGATATATTGGTACCATTTGTGGTTTTATCTTTATTACTTACACCATTTTCCTGTTGGAATTTTTATCCTCTGCCTAAACATCTTATATTTTATGCTTAATTATGTTTCTATCCTTTATTGATAAAGAAGACATTAAAATTATGCATTCTCCCTTAAGGCACTGTGGCTGTACAACAGATCCCAACATGCACTGTTTCAGAAACCAAGAAAACAAGAAGACATGTAAAAAAGCAAGAAAACAGATTTTACTTTCATTTCCCTCGTCACTGTCACACGCGTAGTGATAGTTTCTGTTACTGAATGACGTCAGTGAGATGTTCTGACACATGACACTCTCTGGTAAGAAGTCATGCGAAGCTCACGGCTGGGTCACTCGCAAGTTGTGTTCAGGTTACATCACACCGTGTTCTCTGAGTGTCGTGCTAGTGTTACTTCTCTTTCCCTAGGGCTTGGTTTTAATTTATAACCACAGTCGTGGAACCGATTGTGTCCTCTTCTCAGTGGTTTCTGGACGCTGTGAGGACACCTCAGTGCACCTGGAGCACGGGGAGGGCCCACCTGTGTGTTTACAAAGCGTCCCGACTCCCAGTGCCGCCCTCGTCCCTTCATTTCCTTTCGTCCCACTGTGTTCATCCACTTACAACATATCGTCTCATCTTGTTGCATTTTAGATATTTGAGTAGGCTATTTTATACCTTTTCTGGCATAAGATGGATATAAAATGAATATAATTTACAAAATTAATAAAGTGACATTCTGGAAAATTTTGGAGTATAGATTAGCTGATTTAAGTAATTAGGCTTAAAGAATACTAATAGATGGGCAAAATTATGGCCCCAGTGCCAAGAGACACAAGCTCAACATGGAAAGTAACACAAGCACTCAGAAAATTCTCTGCTGCATCGGCGTTTCCTTGGAATCTGCGGGTGCCCTTCCCCGGGGGAGGTCCTGACTGCAGCTGCACGAGCACCTCCAGCTGGGGACGGGCTGGCCTGCTCTGACCCCACAAAGGCGTTACCTTTAAAAATTCCTTGAAATCCATGTCCTCATCGGTCTTCTGCTGTAACAGAGCCGCTCCGTTAAGCTGACAGCTACAGAACCGGATGTAAGCCTGCATGTGGGACAGCTCGGCCGCCAGGATGTCCCCGATCATCTGCACGGGCATCTTCTCTCCCCCGGTCTTCTTCCGTACCCGCAAGGCCCTGCAAACAACACACTCTCACTGTGCATGTCGTTGGTAAACAAAGGAGAAATATCACAGGGAACTAATGATCCCCGGTGGGTGACCGGAAAACCTGGCACTGTGAGGGGAGAGTCAGGAGGAGGAGGCAGCTTGGGCCTATGTTCCGCTGGCCAAGCCAATCTGGGCGAAGGAGAGTAAGAGAATGAAGTCTATACGCTTGGGTGTTTCCAGGTCCTTGGAACTGTTTTGGATTCATCTTTGTTTCTTAGCAAAGTTCCTTTAGAAAAATTCTAACTTGTTCTCAGCTGAACCAAGAAGAAAGGAATTTTCTACACTCTAGGGGGAAAAGGGAGCAGGAACCCAGGTGTGGAGGTGGAGGTGAGCGCTGTCCCCAGGAAGGCTGCTGAGCTGTGTGCCCCCAGGAGGCGGAGATGCAGTGACAACTGGGACTGCTGGTCCCCCTCCCCCGCCCCACTAGGAGTCTGTCCTCACAGGCTTCAGGGATGGGAAATCACCCTGAGGGGACTTAGGAGACTGTCAGACCAGCCAGTAATGTCCAGGCCATGGGCTACAGCTTCTCTCCTACTCTACCCGGTACAGTCAAGTATATTTTGAAATCATATATTAAGATACTGTTTATTCATATATTAATCATATATTAAGATACTGTTTATGATTTAAAATCTTTGTTTAATCAGGGGCGCCTGGGTGGCTTAGTCGGTTAAGCGTCTGACTTTCGCTCAGGTCATGATCTCGCGGTTCGTGGGTTCGAGCCCCATGTTGGGCTCTGTGCTGCCAGCTCAGAGCCTGGAGCCTGTTTCAGTCTGTGACTCCCTCTCTCTCTGACCCTCCCCTGCTCATGCTGTCTCTCTCTCTCCTAGAAATAAATAAAACATTAAAAAAAATTTTTTTTAAATCTTTGTTTAATCAAAGTATTTTCTTTGTTATATTTCTCAACTTCAGAAATTATGTATTTTACAGTTACAGGGCATCTCCTAAAATGATAATAACATAAAAAGCTTGAGGGAGCAGAAAATAGTTGAAAGTAACTTGGCTAAGCAGCCCTGCAGGGAGTTCTGTGCGGAAGTGCCAGTCCTGGGGGCTGGCAGGAGCTGCTCACAACTCACTTGAGTAGCTTTGTGTTAGACATGATGAGCTCTTTCCAGTTTACAAAGATCAAAGCCATTTCTCCTTCAGTGAGAAAGCCTGACTCCACCATCCGTTTCTGAAAAACCTAAATTCAAACACAAAAGAAAGAAGTTAGCTTAGGTGGGCATAGACAGCCTATGTTGTCAAAATCAAGCAGTATCTTCATATAATGAAACTAATACGATCATGATGTTTTTTTTTTTAAGTCATGATGTTTTTAAATAAGCCTACTTAGGATACTTAGGGTTGCTAAATTTTAAATTGCATAATTTCCCTACTGTTTGCTATTTGGGTTCTTATTGGGATTAACTTTTTTTTTTTTTTTTTTTTTTTAAGTAGGCTCCATGCCCAAAGTAGGGCTTGAACTCAACAACCTTCAGATGAAGAGCTGCATCCTCCACTGACTGAGCAGTCAGGTGCCCCTTTATTACAGCTAATTCTAAAGACTGAGTCTAGCAGCCTCATCCAGTAAGAGGAGATTCTCATACCTATCTGCAAGAGAGATCAGGAAAGTTAAATAAAACCATGTGCATAAAGCATCTACACCCCATAAAAGCTGCAGAATTGAGGAAGCTGTCATGTGGCGGCACCTCAGAGTTCTGGAAGCCGAGAGAAGTTCAGCAAAAGAAACAGTGACAACTGCTATGACCCTGAGACTGCCCCGAGAAGCAGGTATGGATCTCAGAGGCCGGCCGACTGCAGGGGAAATGATCGTGCCGTGCATCTGTACTGCGGAACACGAAAGGGCTGACATACGTGTATATGTGCACAAGCACACACAGGAGTGTGTAGGTGGGTTCTGAGTGAACTTCACAGATGACATGGGTCAAGCTGAGTCAGCTCTGATTATGCCCAGGGCACTCGGAAGAAATAAAGGCTGGGAGAGTGATCTGCTCAAGGTCTCAAACCTTGAACATGGAGGAACCAGAACCAAAATGCCAGTCTTTTTGGTCAGAAATCCAGGTTTCCACTAAACAACTAGGATTCCTAGGGAATGACTTTCAGAGCCTTAAGGAAACTGTAAAGTTATCTGAGGCAACTCTTCTCATGTGTGATCTAAGATACACACCAGTCTATTTCTATTAGAATCGTCTAATGGCCTGCAGGTAAGACGCAGACTCTTTCTCGAGGTCCACCAGGCCCCTGCCCACGCCCCCAGCTTGGGCCTCGAGTACTCGACCCTCCAGGCACTGCGATTACTTGCAGGACCCTAAGTCCCCGGCACAGGCCTCTCTGCGTCCACGTCCTCTTCTGGGCACAGAAAACGCATCCGTGTCCTTCTGGCCTTGGCCAAAGCCTCACTGGGAGGGTCTTTCCCGACTCTCCTTTGTGGTGTAGGGTGGTCTTCCCTGTGCTGGCCCCCACCTCAGGGTTCTGCAGCTGTCTGTCTGTCTGTCTGTCTCTCCACATGACTGTGAATTCCTTGAGGGCAGGAACTCTCTTTAATCTCTCTTCTCCAACACAGTGCTTTCTGCACCTGGTAGGTTTTTTTTTTTTAATTTTTTAAAGTTTATTTATTTTGAGAGAGAGAGACAGCGTGAGTGGGGGAGAGGTAGAGACGGGGGGGGGGGAGAGAGAGAGAGAGAGAGAGAGAGAGAGAGAGAGAGAGAATCCCAAGCAGGCTCTGCACCATCAGCCCAGAGCCTGATGTGGGGCTTGAACTCATGAAACCATGAGATCATGATCTAAGCTGAAATTGAGAGTCAGACATTTAACCGGCTGAGCCACCGAGGTGCCCAGGCACATAGTAGGTTTTGAATTAATGTTTATTTGCTGAGTGGAGTTGAACACGGATTCAAAGAGCTCAGATAACAGTGCTATGAACTGGACATCTCAAAACCTCTGTGGTTCCAAAATCAGACTGAAGATGTCAGGACCCTCCGACGGGAGCGAGCCCTGGCCAGGTGGTGGATCTGCTCTGAGGGGCTCCTGAAGTACAGGGAAGGCACCTGGTGGTCTGGTTTTCATCCACTGATGAATATATGTTCCTCTGTTGATTCACTCCGTTTACGTGCCTCGGTGAGACAAGGGGAGGCGGAAGGTGGTTGGGCCGTCTGGGAACCTCCGTCTGAGAACACCCAGCCTGGGAACAGTGCTTTCGCCCTAAATCCCTGACCCGGACGTGACCTCTTGCCTCTCAGGCAAGAGAAGGTGGGCAGAGTGGGGATGAGCAAGGCCCAAGTGGCTAAGTGACTGGTCTGAGTGGGGCAAACATGTGGCCCCTGTCTCCTGTGTGCTGGGGTCAGAAAGTTACGTCTACACCCATTCAGCCTCTCAGGACTGGGATCTGACCAGCAGCAGGGCTGATACTCATAGGGGTTAGTAATAAAGGCAGGTTTTTCTTCTAGGCTGTCTTTCCTGGCCAGAGTGGTGCAGGGATAACGCACGTGGTTCATTCAGTACTGACGGGAAGGCCTGCAAAGGGCCAGACGAAGCTTTGGGGATGCAGGCTGTGGGGGACACATGCCCCTGTCAGGAGCTCAGAGCCTTGGGGGGAGTTATCAACTGAGAGACGTTAGCAACTGAGTCGTGTGTGCAATGGCCACGTGAGCAGACCACGTGCCGGGTCTGGGGGTGCCCGCTTGCACGGCGGGTGGAGAACGAATCAGGGGCGCAGATGCAGAAGGATGCAGCCTCTGCTCCGTGCCGCTAGCGAGGTCACGGCCAGGCTTAGGGCGCACCTGCTGGGCCTGTGTGGGGGCACGCGCTCCCATCGGGTGCCCTGTTTATTTAACTGGGCTTCTCATGTGAGGGCCGTGACACGCTGAGTGGGGACTGAATGCCACGGAAACAAGAGTATCCAGTCTCACTTTGTGCACTCAAACACAAATCATTTCGGGGCGCTGCTCCAACAGCTGTTATCAGCCTACACTGGCCACGTTAATCGGCATAAGCCATAAGGACGTCACAACGGGGAAATATTTTACCACGTGGTCCTCTTCTGGTTTCCAAAGTGGTACGAACATTAGATGAACACTCCCCCCATTTCACAGCCCCTTTGGAAATAACAAAGTCTACAAAGATGTCAGGTGTCAGAGGAGCACAGCAAACGGGCAAACGTGAGGCAGATGAAGTTTGCTTTAGGGCCTTCCCACCGGCTCTGCCCTCGTCCTTATTTATTTATTTATTTTTTTAAATATTTTTATTTATTTCTAGGAGAGACAGAGAGAGAGACAGCGTGAGCAGGGGAGGGTCAGAGAGAGAGGGAGACACAGACTCTGAAACAGGCTCCAGGCTCTGAGCTGGCAGTCAGCACAGAGCCCGATGCGGGGCTCGAACCCACGAACCGCGAGTTCATGACCTAAGCGAAAGTCGGACGCTTAACCGACTAAGCCACCCAGGCGCCCCTGCCCTCGCCCTTCTCCTTCCTTGATGGGGCATCTCCCACAAGCGGCTGAGACGCCTCTTGTCCTTTGCACCCTGAATGGCCACGTGTGGGGGAAGGAGTGGACTGGGGCTCTTCAGGCACGCCCTCCCCTCCCCCCACAGCCACAAATTGTTCTGAGGGTGTGAGAGCTCCTGTTGCTAACATCAAAGGTGATGCCTGACTCTGAGGCCAAGGCCCACCACCCTGCGGGCACAGCCCTCACCTCCACGACGAGCTGAAGGTCATCCACGTACCGCTCTTCGGTCTGAATCAGCTCGTGAATATAGCCCTGCCTCTTCCTCTCAACTGGCTGCATGGTGTCCAGGCTCTGGAGATCAGCACACCCTATGGAAAGACAGGGTAGAGTTTCAAAACAGTATTTGAGTCTTCTTTGTAGGAAACAGACATTTATCAGCAGATGTGCTGGGTTTACAAGTGGTGCCTCGAAAAAGCCAGGCGCAGCCTTTCCAACCGCGGAAAGCCCGCCTGACCACCTGCCGCTCGACCAAGGCAGCAAGTCAGCACCGCCTGTACCATCTCAGCGTGGTCCTGACTTCTTTCCCAAATGAATGACCGATTTAAGGCTTTTAAGAAATGGCCTCAGAGAGTTCAGAACTGTGATCAACTTGTGAAGATCTATGTGGTTCTCATTATCTCAGGCCATTTTCAAAGATGTTGAAATGATTCAATGAATCAAATGCTTAAGAGTAGTGTTTTCCAAACTGCAGGCTATGAGATATCGGTGGGTCCTCATATCAATTTAGTTTTTTAAAAGTGTAGGTCGGGCCTAGCATTAAAGCAAACACACAAATAAATACAAATTACCTTGTGCACAGCCCTCGTAAGTACTGAAAATGAACACTTTTAGTTACGTGTGTACTTGGGATGTAGAATACATTTCCTACCGTGAGCTACTGTTAAAAAAAATGAGAAACATTTCTGTTGATTTCTCAAAGTGAAGTGTTAAGGTCAGGAGGCCTGAAGTTCCCAGGACCCAGTGGTTCCCAACAATACCAGTGCCTTAACTCACCAGCACAAAGAAGTGGTTTTGGGACACCACAGCCACAAGTAAGACTGTGAGGGAGGGGAGTCCCTAGCGGCCTGGCGTCAGGGCGAGCGGCACTGCAGTCACTTTGGGTCAGTTTACAGGCACATGGGAGCGGAACTGAATGTCAAACTCCGAAGCAACAGAATTCCAGAATCGCTTGGTAAGAAGCTGAGGGCTTGCTTTTGTGCACAGTGAGAGAGGAAGTAACTCAGGCAGCCCTTCTTCAGACAAAAAGAGCAGGTAGGTGCCTCCAAGCTACAACACGAGGGAGAGGGAAGGCCCAGTGAGGCATGGATGGCCCCTGAGGCAGCAGGTGTAAGGGGGACCCGCCCCAGCCTGCGTAGGTGGGGCATCGCTGGCGGAGACGCAGAGGCCCTGCACCGGGAACACACGAGCAGAGCCACGGAGGCAGAGAACGCGAGGAGCAGACGGGACAGTTCAAGGGGGCTTCTCTTTCTGCCTACCTTGGAGTGTGTTTAAAAATTTTTTTTTACTGTTTGTTTATTTTTGAGAGAGAGACACACACAGAATGCGAGCGGGGGAGGGGCAGAGAGAGAGGGAGACAGAGGATCTGAAGCAGCTCCAGGCTCTGAGCTGTCAGCACAGAGCCTGACGCGGGGGATCATGACCTGAGCCGAAGTCGGACGCTCAACCAACTGGGCCACCCAGGCACTCCTCTGCTTACCTTTGAGTTTTTATGTGTTTTGTATAGATTTGGACTAAGAGTTCTCAGGAAGACAACTGTCTATTTTCTGTGCATGTTGCCAAAGGCTTAAAAAAAATTCTCACAGTAACACAGAAATAGAAAAAGGCAAGACGACATCATGGCGTCACTGTCGTGTTCAAAATTATCTGTCCTGGGGACTGTATTTTATTCTGCACTGCACGGAGGCCAAGTGTTCTGACCCTGGAAGGCTAATATAGACACCTGTCTGACCAGGTTGTGAGTGGCGAGGAGGCGGGAGGTGATGGCTGGGCACCTGGTGGCATGTTGCTCTCATGGCGCGAGCCAGAGTCACTGGCCAGAGGAGCAAGCTGACGGAAGCCGCAGAGTGGTGTCTAAGGTCACCCCACCCTCACACTAGACACCAGGGCTCTACAAATTCCAGTCCCTGACATGCTGCAACACCCACATTCGGTCTGTACTTTTCGTAATTCTTTTCTATAAATTTACTCATGTTTGAATTACATATTTGGGAAATCATGGGTTTTATGTACTGGGCATGCTCCTTCTGATACTCACTAAAATAAATATATAACCATTAGGGGAAAAAACGTCCTGAGGTCTCTTCTTCTGTGTGCCATCACGTAGCGTATCACAGGGATAGGTCTATTGCACTTTGAGAAACACTGATTTACATTAAAACCCAGAAGCATTGGCCTATCTGTTCTGTACCTTGGAATAATAGGAGAAGTTCCAGATATTTTATCATTTCTAGGGCGAGAACATGCATGCCATTAGCTCCATCAGGAAGGATGTGAGGACAATCCTTATACTCCACCTCTAACTGACCCTTTTGCATTTAATTACAATGGTTCTTAAACGTCTAGTCTCTTCAAGTTTTCAACTTGACCCTGACCCTCACTTTCAGATGTTCTTACCTCCAATGTCAGGGAAAAAAAGAAAGGCACGGTGGCCCTTTTACTTCCTGCTCTTCATCTCCCTGCTCACTCATCCCTGTACTTCCTTCCTGTGTCAGGGGATGAGGGAATCTGGTTTCTTCCTGAAGCCAGTATCCTTAACTGACCCTCTCCTTCTGACTCCTTGCCCTCCTCCCCTCACTGTCCAACATGGTAGCCGTCAGCAACACGTGGCTATTGAGCATTTGAACTGTGGTGGCCAGGCCAAACAGAGAAGCGCTCTAAGTATAAAGCATACACCAGATTTCAAAGACTTAATATAAAAAAAATAGAATGTAAAATAATGCATTAATAATTCTTAACTACATAATGGTAGTATTTTGCATGATACTGAGCTAACCAAAAAAAATTATTCAAAACCTAATTTCATGTTTTACTTTTTAAAATGTGGCCTTTGGAAAATCTTAAATTACATATGGGCTGCATTGGTGACTTTCATTATATTTCTATTGAACAGTTCAAACCAGCCATTGCACTTTTTATTCTGTTCCTTCCCTAACAAGCTTTTAGTGGCTTCTGCTATTTGCAGAATGAAGTCCTAGCTCAGCAGCACAGGACTCCAGAGTCGCCATAATCCACCCACGGCCTACATTTGCAGCCTCCCCTCTGATCACGCAGCTGCCTTGTAGCCACCCAGGCCCAGGTTCCATCCTCACGAGGTGCTGTACACGCTGTACACACTGTCCACGGCCTGCTTCGCCACAGCCATCTTACTAACCTTCAAAGTGCAGCTCATGGGATCCTACTTTGGGGAAACTTTCCATGCTCTGTGCCCAAACTGCCTCTTTCCTGTACTTCCGGGGGAGACTGCATCTGTATTTAACACTTCACAGAATGTAACTTGCATTGTAGCTCATCTCTACAGTGTTAGTATGCTCGTCTCTCCCCCTGGAGGTCAGCGACTGTGGCTCGCACGGTTCTACAATATCAAACTTAGCACAGCGTTTTGACCACGGAGGTCAGGAAATATTTGTCAAATGGATGACTGGCTTGGTCCCCAGACCTGTTTTTTGCCTTTTGTCTGCTCTGTACTGCAGGGAGGTCAACCCCACCGCCTGCATATGTAAGCTCTTATTTCAGCTGGCCTCTGCCCATGTTCGGCCAATGAGAGGAAGCTCTGGCAGGAGACTGAAGACTACAAATGGGCAAATGGGGAAAATGGGGAAATGGGAAAAATACTTTTTCTGCCAGAAAAGTGAGAGGGCAGGAGACCTTTTAGTCTCTGCTGGGCAGAGAACATTAGAATTGCTGGGCTTGCGTCTCATAAATTGCAAGTTTAAGAATTCTACAACTGATGGATTAACAGAAAAGTTGGTCCCTGGTTGGTGGTACTCTTAGGCTGCTTGGCCAAAGAAAATGTACAACTGTCCAGAGTGTCACTCTCACGACCTCGGTTCCATGGGATTTCCATGTAAAAACCAAGTCTCACTAAATATGAGCTCAAAATAAAAAATGAGAAGAAAGAAGGAATGATCCACTATAAATAAAAAATGATGACTAGAAAGGATCCCAAGAGGGGCACCTGGTTGGCTCACTTGGTAGAGCATGCAACTTTTGATTTCAGGGTTGTGAGTTTGAGCCCCACATTGGATGTAGAGATGACTTAGAATCTTAAAAAAACAAACAAACAAACAAAAAAAAACCCCCAAAACCAAACAAAAAAAAACAACCCAAGAACATAAAGTAATAGAACAAAAGCTAAATAAAAAGTAAAAATATGTATATTTAAAATAACTCAAGACATATGAAGGGTTTGAAACCACAGAGTCTATAAGAATAGGCAGATTTGAAAAAGAAACTAATAAAATGGCAAATATTATCATGTATTATCATAATAATACACAGCAGTTCAAACACATCTGAGGAAAGGATTAGTAAATCTGAAGACAGATATGAAGAAATTAAGAATGCAGCATGGGGGTACCTGGGTGGCTGAGTCGGTTAACGTCTGACTTTGGCTCAGGTCATGATCTCACAATTTGTGGGTTTGAGCCCCGCGTCGGGCTTTGTGCTGATAGCTCAGAGACTGGAACCTGTCTTCAGATTCTGTGTGTGTGTCTCTCTCTACCCCTCTCCCACTCACACTCTGTCTCTCAAAAATAAATAAACATAAAAAAAAAGAATGCAGCCTAGAAAGACAAAAAGATGGAAAACATAAAATGGAGGTTAAGGGGAACAGAGGACAGAATGACAAGGTCCAACATACATCCAATGGGAGTCTAGGAGGGGAGAACAGAAAAAATGGGAAGAAGTAATATAGAGATTATAATGGTTGATATTTTGTAGAATTGATGAAAGATATACCTCCACATATTCAGAAGGAAAAATGATTCCTGATTAGGAAAAAAAATAAAAATGAAACCATATTTAAACTGCAAAACACCAAGGAGAGAGAAAAAAAGATTAAAACAGTCAGAAAGAGGGACGCTTGGGTGGCTCAGTCAGTTAACTGTCCAACTCTTGATTTTGGCTCAGGTCATGATCTCGAGGTTCTGTGGGATCGAGCCCCATGTCAGGTTCTATGCTGGCAGCGTGGAGCCAGCTTGGGGTTCTCTCTCTCTCCCTCTCTGCTTTGCTTACATGCACTCTCTCTTTCTCTCAAAATAAATAAATAAAGATTAAAAAAATGAAGAGAAAGAAAAGGCAGAATACACAG